TCCATTCCTGTAAATGTTCCAAAAGGAAATCTGGTAACTTCATTACGTGACATTTTAGTGTTGGGATAGCCAGTATATTGTATAGAATTTTTTCCATTTCCAGGAGGTGAATCCATCATATAATGATCACCACTATAATTGGTACCATTTCTGTAGATATTAGTTGTTGCTTGATGTGATCCTGTTATAACTTTGGGACTTGGTATAGTCATAGACTTGTAATCAAGTATTGCAGGGTCAGAGTTCATGATTGGCGGCTGGAACGTTTTCCACTGAGGATTGTTGGACATTGTCTCGAATTTGCAGAATTTTAAATGTAATCTTTACGTATAAGTTTTCCTCTTTCTTGAAACAATTACTTAATTTCTTTTATGTTCACTTCTGTTTCACCACAATATATATTTATATATATATACTTATATTTAGAAATTTTTAGTCTTTTCAATTATTTAAGTGTTAACATAGATATCACAGAACGGTTCTTGGTACCTTATATCTTCATTCACTATTATAATGTTACAAGAACTTAATACAGAGGAAGAGAGGCTCTTTAAAATGCTGCAGAAATGCAGGCTCCTTTGTGTGACCAAGAAGTGGAAGGAAGGGTTTGAAAGTATTTTGACGTTTGTCATAAATTATTTATAAGAGAGTACCCAGGCAACTCTGCGCAAAATTGGCACTCTTTAAATACAAATACGTGTTTTATTAATCAAGAGCAGCACAATCTCAGCCGCAATCACAATCACGGTCACTTTATAGCTCACCTAACTCTTTCTCGCAAAGCTTGTGTACACAATATACAAATGAACAATATAGTTAATGTCGTTTTACGAATTAATACAAGTACAAAATTCTTAGCACGTCATAGACCATTGATACTTTCCACATATGTATGCACGTGTTATAACAACTGTTTGATATTTACTCAATTTAGTATACACTAGAACAACTGTGTTCCTTTTAAACAACAGTCATCCTTTATAAAAGGAGTAAATCAAAAAACATAGGAGATTTAAAAGATAAATGTTGACTTGAAAATCCTCAGATGTCTTCAATGCGTGCTGAGTGTGATTGTGTTGTTCCAATATTTCTATGTTAGCGTTTCTTTCTTCAGCATTTAATTATGGAATTTACAGTGAGCCTTGGTTTCAAAAATGTCCTAAACTAACAATTACACAAGCTGAAATAAAAAAAAACATTTATTTAATTGCAAAACATGATTAATGTAGATTTAGAAAAATAATAATACATTATTACATTGATTATGAGCTTTATGAAAGTAATGATAAGCAAATATCTTTTCCCTAAATTGAAAAATGTCTGATGATCTATATATTAAATTACATGATCTAAATATCTAAATAAAGTATTATTATATTCATAGTCATAAATTATTTTGTAAGCATATTAGAATGAAAAAAATTATTTACTTCTTATTATGATTTGAATCTTTATAAATTTTCATGATTAATATAATTTTATTATTACCTATCAGTACGGATCCCAACTAAATTTAAACAAACTTTTAGCAGAGATAAAACGACCAATATCTCATCTGTGCATATAGGTTATTATATATTTTTGCTCTCATATCGCAGTAATATTCAAGTATATATAGCACCGTAGAATATATTTATTGTGTTCTATTTGTGGTTACATACAAGACAAACAAGATATTCACAATAATTGACTGGCAATTTGACATTGACTTCTCATGCTCCAACCAATCCTTTCTTTCCAATGCTTTGCATTTATTTCTCAAAATTTTATTCATATCCAAGTCCCATTCATCAATATCATGCGGTCGAAATTTCATTGCCGTAAGTTTATTATTCAAATTATAATTCTCGAACTTTGGTTGAAATGGGATTGTAATACTTGGACACCCACATGAAAATGTTTGAAATATATGTAATATTACAAGCATTACAAGTTTCTCTAAATGTAAATAAATAGATATATCATTCAACGGATTTTATTGTAACGTAATACCGAATTTAAAATAATCGTAACACTTAAAGGACGCGTCCAAACAAATATTTGAAATATTGTGCATGCTCGCCAGTTACGAGATTCTAATTTTTTATGAGGTCACTCGTTTCTTTCGATATCGTAGAGATTTACCAAGGTCCCATACGTTTATAAAATATGAGTAAAACTGTCAGGGAGCAAGTAATTCTGCTAATTGGGAATATTTCATTGCAAAGCTCGTAATCAAATAGGTTTAAAAAGATTTATAAAACTCACCACGACACAGCACAGCACTGACGACATGCCGCCATGTTGAATGTCAACATTCAGTATTCACATACAAAACAGGAGCAATTACAGAGTGACCACAATTAAAAATTTCGGTTCATAGCCGTCTGGTAATATTGCTACAAAAGCAACTATCCGCTTGTCCTACTAGCCGTGGAAAACCATAAATCTATATTTAAAAACTAATAAATTTAATAAAGAATAAATAATTGGTTGACACACATGAAATGAAAGTGTGTTCTCAACATAACGTTTTTGAGTTATGTCCAGCGAACATTTAAACCAATGATATTAAAGCGCGTTCGAAAAACTTCAATAATTTGTTCCGAAGTTATCGGAGAAACAAGTATTTCGTGCGGTGAAAATTGCTCGCCTTTCAATGACAAAATTTCAACATTGATAAAATAAACTGATAATACAGCCAGTTAAAACTCACAACATGTATATATACAGATCTTTTATTCATATATTTATTTTTGAAATACTTATCCATACTACACAAAGTAACTAGTTATTTATAATTTACAAATAAAATTTATTTTAATATAATAATATTAAAAATATTCTTGCACATATTATTAAATATTAAGTTTTTGTGAAGTTTCTCCGTTTGATGTCCTGGAATATGTACCAAAGTGATTTAATTGATGCCAGTGTAAGTCTTCAGATTCTGGTGTTGAAGGAGCTGTTGCACACTCTAAGCTTAATTGGAGAGCCCTTCTTAAATCATCATCCTCATCTGTATCGTCAGTCCCGGATGTTTTCTTATTGTAATCGTGAAAATCCAAGCTTAATTTAAGATACTTATCTACATCATTCCTTTTATTTTCTTCGAAACTTAATTGAAGTGCTCTTTGCAATTCTGCATTTTCATCATCATCTTCATCACTTTTCTCAACCTTTATAGGAATTATTTTCTCTTGCAGTTTGTTTGTCGGTAGCTTTTCTTTACTCGATAAAGTTCTAGTAAATGTATTTGGTATTACATTGTTACTTACACCTGTTAAAATAAAAAACAGTGAATATATCATCTACTGTAAACTAATACAACTTTTTCTAGAATGAGAGGTCTTTAGAAATTCACATTTTTCCTAGATAATAACCTTTTGGTTTAGTCCTTAATGATGTTTGCTCTTTTGTTATAGGTTCTATTGGATTTTTCATAAGAATATCATCTGCAGTACATTGTGGAAGTGCACCAATAACAATAAAAATAGAATAACCTAGGAACATACATAATTACCTACGAAGATAAAAAATATTTGTGATTTATAATATTTTATTAAGATGTTTACCTTCTTGTAACAACTGGGCTAAATACATTGAAAGATAAGTATCTGATATAAGCTCTGGCCCACTTAGTACTGAATTTAAGTTAAACCATTGTTTTCCAATTTTCCTTATGGTGAACCAATGACCTTTGTAGTTACAAATATATGCCTTCATCTGTCTAAAAATGATACGCATCACTTTTGAAATTACGTATGTAACAAAGTGTAAATTTTTGTATATGATAATTCATGCATAAAATACATAATGTATATACTTTTTTTTTGTTCATGGTAGTACAAAATAATTACACTTCGTAAATATCTTTAAACTATTTTGAATGAAATAAATCAGAAACAATTAAATAACATACAAAGGATCATTCTGTGCCATTATAGCTGCAGATTCCGTACTATTATATGGGATTAACTCTAATCCCCACACTTTTAACGCACTACTGATTACTTGCACTGAGAAGTATCCACTGTCGTCCATGTTTCCTGATGGTTGCTAAGCAAAATAATTAATGCCCTTTACCACATATAACATTATTAGTATATATTAATATTTCAAGTTAGAAATAAGTTGATAAATACAATAAAATACTTGAAAAATATTATAACTTATTATATTGTGCGATATATTGCAATAAAATATAGCTACAACATAAAATAATTACAATACACAGATTCACCTCTAAGAAAAGTTTATATTCTTCACTGTCAACACCAGATTCTGCCATTCTTATCCTCTCTTCCTCATCCATTTGGTGACCTAAACTAGCAAGATCTACAGCATTGTAATAAGGTCCTTGTAAAAGTGCGTTTAAGCAATGTTGTGCACATAGAAATCCTTCCTGCTGTAATAAACTTTCCCGTTAAAACAATTTACATTAGAAATACCACTAGGTACTTACATATATTATTATTTACCTTCTCGTGAAATATGGTATCCATTTTATCAACACTTCAACGCAGTACGTGAGGCATATAAATATTAAATATCAACCAAATCATACGTTGAAAAATCTAAAAGGATTCTTTGATCAAACGTCACCCACAAAAATATTTTTTGGTTATAATCAGAAATATATCATATGCAGTTGGTGGTACTTTTAGACATTATGATTCACGTATATAGTATTGCCATCTTGTAACAGATTCTATAGTTGTCATATGATTATAACTAAATGTTTCTCATTCAAAATTTATTATTCACGCGTACTATTAATAACATATCTAGTTTCTTTTACATAGAAACTGAACTATATCATATAAAAATGATTTTTATGTGAAATCTCATTCCGAATACAGCGAAGAAACTTGGAAATACTCGGCAAGACTATTAATGAATTTTAAACGAAATACAGACAATCAATTTAGATGTATTGCGTGTAACGCGCCTCCAATGATTTATTTCAACATATGTAAATTTCATCTTAATACGTTATATAATGATATTAGTTGACGCTGAACATCATTTTCTGATTGGTTGCGATGCAACTGGTACATTATTCATCAGGACGTGTTTCAAGTTTCGCCGAGGGAAACCTTAAGCTAAGTACAGAGTGTTCTATGAATCTCATCAAAGGACAGAAACTTCAGGAGGAGCAGGGGCATCGGGGACTATAAAATAATTATTTAAAGGCTCTAGGCCGAATTAGAAGCACCAACTGCTACCGAGGCATAGAAAAGTGTACGAACTATTGAATACCAAGTACATTAACGAAAGCAGAGCTGGGAGAGATCGTGAGTGGGCGGGGGCGGCCATACTCAAACAACCGCCGAGCGAAGTGCGCGGTACAGCGCAGAAATGAGACGATAATAAATCGCATTGTACCGTTCATAAACCCGGGTCGACGGTAACGGGTGTAAGTGCCTCCGTTGGAACATAGAGGGAAAGAATTACGAACAGAGAACGAAGACGGAAAGAGTGAGAAGTGTAAAGAAAGAGACAAAAGCGGCCCGACGAGCCGAGGCGCAGAGAACGGTATGAGTGCAAAGACAGACGTGAACAGGCGAGTCCTAGCAATTCAGGCGAAAAAAAAAAGGCACAAGCCAAGTAAGCGAAAAGGAAAGGGAAATGCACAGGATGAATCAGAAACGTCGGGAGCCCAATGCTCAAAAGCATCGGCCACTCAGCAAGGCCAGGGATCGGGTTTCTATCAGGATGCTTCCTCACAGAGACCATATTCCAGTGACAATGGAAACAGGTATCTGTGTTTCCTTAACATGTCAATTGATTCTACTATGTTAATGTTCTTTTTGCTGTCGTTTCGTAATTACTGGAGTAAATTTCCTCTGATACGATAGGATATTTCTATCGAGACTTTTTGTCGAAGTCTTTTTTTTTTCTTTTTTCACGTTGTAACATCGATCAGTTTTATCACTGAATGTCTCAATGAAAAGTGATAGACGTTCGAACAAATGTAATTTGTTGCGTTACGTTACGTTTCATCGTTGGATAATCTAACTTGAAGATTATTTCCTGTCTGTACCTATCCTCGTGAAAATATTCGAGAACGAGTAGCCTTTTATTTTTTAATTCGTGTTTGCTCCCTACCTTTTTCTTGGCTGAAACTTACAGATTGGAACCATGTCATAGCTCAAGTAACGAAACAATGGAAGATGGTGATGAACTCTACACTAGTGAGGATGAAGAACAAGAGGACAGTAGCGATTATTGTAAAGGAGGGTATCATCCTGTTAAGATAGGAGATTTATTCTTAAATCGTTATCATGTAACACGTAAACTTGGCTGGGGTCACTTCTCTACAGTCTGGCTCTGTTGGGACTTACAGGTATGTGTCTGATTCTTAGGTAAAAGGGCATCCTTTTTCCTTTTTTTTTTTTGTTCGATAAATTCATAAGTGGAATGTTTTAAAATGTGTTCTTCAGGATAAGCGATTTGTGGCACTTAAAGTGGTCAAATCTGCATCTCATTTTACTGAAACTGCATTGGATGAAATTAAATTATTAAAAGATGTGCGTGATACAGATCCCAGTGATCCTAAACGCAATAAAACCGTCCAGTTACTCAATGACTTCAAGATCAGTGGCATTAATGGTTTGCATGTTTGCATGGTATTTGAAGTGCTTGGGCATAATCTTCTTAAACTGATTATCAAATCCAACTATAGAGGAATTCCAAGAAACAATGTTAAACGTATCATCAGACAAGTTCTTGAAGGTCTTGATTATCTACATAATAAATGTAAGATGTTTTAAATGGAAAATGTGTTTGATATTTAATATCATTGTATCAGATAATGTTAATTTGTATCAATAGATTATTAATCTAACATAATATATATTTGAAATGTTTAATATTGTTTTCACTGAAATTAGCATAAAATATTTTTGTTTTCTAGGTAAAATTATTCATACAGACATTAAACCTGAAAATGTTCTTGTTTGTGTTGATGAAGCTTATATTAGAAAATTGGCTTGTGAAGCTACAGAACTACATTCACTTGGAATGAAGTTGCCAGTGTCTTTAATTTCAACTGCACCAAAGGAATTCCAAGAACCTACTCCTAATTCTAAAATGTCAAAAAATAAAAAGAAAAAGCTTAAGAAGAAAGCGAAGCGTCAGAATGAATTATTGAAGAAACAAATGGAACAAATAGAAGAACTTGAAGAGCAGGACAAACTTGCAAATAGCACAAGAGCAAATGGAGAATTAGAAACAAATAGTCCAGATCAAGACGTAAATACGGAAAGTATAGAAGATAATACTGAAAGCAAAGATTCACCTGATATTTCAGAACCATCTGCACCTTCATTGCACATAAATGGTGTAGATAGTTTAACAGCCGAAGAAAAAGTAGAAAATCAATTACCTCAACAATCTGAAAAGATGGAAAATGCAAATTCATGTGATGTAGAAAAGAATTGCGGTGAAGGAGTACATTTACCTGATCATGAGGATACTGACGAATGTAGTGAAGGTAATATTTACAGAAACTATGTTATGTAGCTATAAATAATTAAAATAACTATTTATTATTTTCCACAGGTCGTAATTTACATCCACCTGAAAGTAAACAATTGAAAAGAGCATCTGTAGCTCCTTTAGATCCTGCCCTAGTAGAATGTGATGTTGAAGTGAAAATAGCAGACCTTGGTAATGCATGTTGGGTCCATAAAAAATTTACAGATGATATTCAAACTCGTCAATATAGATCATTAGAAGTATTATTAGGATCTGGATATGATACATCTGCAGATATATGGTCCACTGCCTGTATGGCATTTGAATTAGCAACTGGTGACTATCTCTTTGAACCACATAGTGGCAATTATTATTGCAGGTAAAGTATTACTTTTTTAAAATAATTAATTAGAAATAATTGTTAATATCGTTATAGAAGATATTTTGCTTGTTTGTTACAGAGATGAAGATCATTTAGCACACATTATTGAATTGCTTGGAGAAATACCAAGACACATTGCTCTTTCTGGCAAAAACTCAAAAATGTACTTCAATAAGAAAGGTGAACTAAAACGGATTACTGGATTAAAACCTTGGGGACTGTACGAGGTGCTTACGGAGAAATACGATTGGTCACCAAGAGAAGCGCGCGAGTTTGAAGAGTTCCTAACTCCGATGCTCGAGTTTGATCCGAGTATGCGAGCTACAGCAGCAGAGTGCCTGAAGCATCCATGGCTGAAAATCAAAAAGTGATCATTTTTTTTATCGTTTTATCTTTAAATTCTTCAACTCTACACTTTTACCATCCTGATGTAATTAGACATAAGTCGGGAGTGTGACAAGAGGCAATGACTGACGATAGTCAGGTTCTTTCGCATTATATATATAATTTTATTTTTGTGTGAGGAGTATATTGTCACTGAAAACGCACAGTATAGAGTTATTTAATATTTAATATTATAAAATGCAAAATCATTAAAAATGTGTTTTAGACATTATAATTTAGAAATGATTTTTACCTTTTTTAGCTGTTGATAATTTTATGATTATCATTTACGTCCACGTGATTATGACTAATTTCATACAGCAAAAGGAGATATTTAATATTGGAACAATTGGAAAAGAAAGAACTTGCTACATTCCACCAAATAATTGCTGCAGTTGGGTATGCTTCTAATTGTAACACTCTCGACGATGGCTGCCTACTTGTGTATTTATAAATTTGTTAAATCATGTTTTTCATTTAGTATAATGCTATCTTAAATTAAAATTTCGTAGTACTTTATTATTTTACACGGTCGTCGTTATATTATCCTTTACACTACTTATCACTTAATTTATGAAATATCCCAAGAGTCATGGGACCCACTCATAATGTACTTTAGGAAAGGGCAGGCCCATTGTTATATCTCATAATGAATATTGAAATTTCCATTAAAATACTTCTTTTACATTAAATTTATTATCCAAAATTTACTGATAGCAGGTTTTTTCTCTGTGATCTCTCCTTGTGCTTAATTAGTGTGTGTTCAAGAAAATATAATAATCATTATTATTATTGTCTTGATACTGATTGAAGAAATACTCATACATACATACGCCGGAACGTGTGTTTAAGGAACTGAATCTTTGTACAAATTCGATAAATGCGGAAATACATATATTGTTAGTATAATTAAGAGTTGGTCGCCAGATTCTTGGTAAAACAATTGATTCGGAATAAGACAGTGCATATTTTATTCAGTTACAATAAATAAACCAGAAGAAAGGATTCGAACTTGTAGTAATATACAATAAGATTATGATAATTATAAAGTTTAACTATCGAATGAATAATAAACTTATGATTATCAAGAAACGAATTTGTAATGGAATTATTACAGACGCATATACACTGTCGGATTTCGAACAACCACCAAGGCATTCAATATTTGTGGTATATACTTTCGTTCACTTTAATTTATTACATATTTCTTTATACTGCTGAAAAGCATACATCATATACATTATATATATTGTACAATTACGAGAAAGGGAAACTAGTTTCTACATCATGACTGAAATTTCGGTAAACGTAAAATAATCATGGTGAAGGAAATACAATGTTAAGTTCTGCGCGACCTTCTTTACTTCGAGCTATTGACTGATTATTAAGCTCCCTGCCGATAAATTGTCTTCTATTTTATAACGAAGATAGCGAAACAGTACGATTACTGAACATTCAACATCACAAATGTATTTGTATCGTTGAATTCTGTTTATGCTTCCAAACGAATGTTCTGTTTCGCTGTGTCTGCCAACTTAAAGTCGTTTCATGTCGAAAAAAAATGAATAATTAAAGAGCATTTCGAATGAAATTGGTGGAGATGCATATGAAAAGAACATTTATTATTAACTAAGTTTCATTAGATGAGAATATATTTATTCCGGGTAAAAGAGGAAAATAGTTACTTAAAGTAGGATATTTAAATTTAATTACGTTTATTTTCATTAAGTGTTTGTAAATCGATGAATCTTGAGGAAGAGATTACTCTTTTAATCCACAATTCACTTTTAACATTTAATATTCGTACTTTTAGAAATGATAGAAAAGGTATGGAATTATTGATCTTGATTTTTACGATGTTTGAGAGAAATGTATAATTAAGATCATAAGATTTGTTTAATTTTATTTTATTTTATGGATATCCTTAACGAAAATGCCTCTTCTACCTGTATTGTAATCGATGAAATTCAAGCTTTTCATTTACATTGTCGTACTTGCTTAACTATCCCTGTGTAACCATGTGATCCCACCGTAATTATGAATTTGGAACTGATGGCAATCGTGTTGAATTTGTACAGTACGCAACCGAAGTTATTGTAGTTATATACACCGATATTATTTTATAAAACGCGGCCAGTGAAATCCGGAAAGAATGCAGTAAATAACAAGAACACGAGGAATTAACAATGGAAGAATGTTTTTTCCAAAATACATCTTGAATTTTTGCATGGCCGTCCTTATAGTTGATGACTGGTGACCGATCATCGTGTGTTTGTATGTTGTTAATGATAATTCCCGTTTTGATGAAGAACAATGTATAATACGATGTATATTACTAAACGAAGGACATCTTCAAGAACGAATCATAACTTGCTATTATACAACAATCATGTTGTACGATAAACGAATGATCGGATTTTTTTTTCTAATAACGGTTCAACGGATTTCAAGGACATGCGATTTCACCGCGTAGCCGCACATTACGATTATACATACCGAAATATACATATAAATATATATAGAGATATACATAGAATAAATTGAATGACAATTCACGTAGGTATGATTCGTTGCTTGGCGCTAGGGTAGTTAGGATGAAATTAACAAACATTAACAGTAAAAAATGTGTATAGCTTGATGTACGAGAGTCCTCCCGTTTTCCTCTAAGGTTTGAACAAGTAATGTATTCGTACATATATTAAAACTTGAAAGCCCGTTGCGCATCGTCTTTTTCCTCAATGATAGAAAAACCACTTCTACGAGTGCAGAACAAGAAAGATAAATGGAGAGTTAGGCAGAGCCAAAGAGGCTTGTTTATACAGGGACCCAATTTGAAACTTTTACAGATTTATGTTCCAGTCGGTAGATTTAATTATGCGCCGTCTAGAGAGATATGACTGAATGATTAAAATTTGTGCGCATTAATTTTACACAAAGTGAACAAACCTCGATATATAAGAAATCTAATTTTGTTCTTAAAATTCGTCTGAACTGGGTCTTCAAGAATCCTCACCGTCATACGTATTTCTTTCAATCTACTGTCGTTGAAATATGATCTTTCAGTCGCAAAGATAGAAAAAAAAAAAAGCAAATGAAACGTAAGAACTACTAACGCACCGAAGAGGACCGAACAATATCAGTACCAAGGAAACGCATGTAAATGGAAAACACGTTTTGTAATAACATTAAAAAAAACGTGAATCGACGGATAGAAATGTCGATCAGGAATGAAAATCTAATATTTGACGGAATAAGAAGAAAAAAAAATGAACTTTCAAATGAACACCAAGTTATATTATGTAAATTGTGGCGTGTATAACACGTATCTATGAGATATTGTAAATATTGAAATGTAATTGGGGATTTTACACATTTTTAGACCGAAGTGTCTGCATTATAAAAAAAAAAACTGCGATAAGTTTAGAAAAGTGTTTGAGATACTCCAATGGATTATGCACGCTGTATAACGACCATTTAGTCAGATTATAATCGCTTGGAACATTTTCTGTAATAAATGGATACAATCGGGTATGATATTGTTTTACGAATTGATATATAGTCATACTGATCGTAGCGTTGTAGGATTATTTAACTTTGCATGCTTAGTCAACTGCTCGATGTTGTACATACACACATGTACTGTACTGAGCATTAAATAAGGATAAAATTATTGATAAAAATGCATATAGACGCTCATGGTATATGAAGATCCTTTTTAGAACTTTATTGGGTGATAATCCAATGCGTGAATAATATTTGAACAGAGAGAATATGTATAATTAAACTGACTGGAGCATTAATAAAAAGGGAGGCAAGTGTGTTTCTGCCATGCTTTTAGACAATACTCCATTAATAAAAAGGGATAATAATGTTTATCCTTGTATTAACGTTGGCTGAATAGAATTTAAATTGCCCTAATATCAAATAAATATATACGTATAAAAGAGTAATTAAAATAAAATAAAAACGAAAAGTGTGCCCTTTGTAAAGAGAAATAATGCAAGTTTTACTCATCTTATAACAATTTCGATCGTGCTAAAAATATCTTACATTAAATTTAAATTTCATGCAACGTTCATCGCGGTATTTCCTATACTCGGCGTGTTTTTGCACTAATAACGAAGAATAACGTATCATAAAATCAAAACTACTTTTTTCTATACCTATACGTTTACATTCATACCGTTATATCTCCGTGATCGAAAGGAAATACCGTAAAAGATCAATTATAAGAAACGTATTGGAATATTGCAGGAAAACGATTTTAAAAACAAATATGCCTCGTGCTCCAGTCAATCGATGTATGACCAGATGAGGCATAAAAAGCGTAGACATAATAAAGTAGAGATAATGAGTCGAACAAATAAACGGATTTGATGTTTAGACGCTGCCTCCCATTATGTGCCCTGCCGCAAAAAAATAAGATAACAGACCCATGTACCCACCCTTCCGAGATCAGTATATGATATTAAAAATAAATTCACATTAAAATAAAAGTAATTGTATTTTTTTTCTTTTATCTCCATAGCCTTAAAAATTAATAAAAGAATCTTTTTTCAGAATTAATGCTTTATTGTACAAATTATATAATTCGTGTTACCTATTTTTATATTACGAATATTTTTGCACGTTAAATAAAATTTTAATCGTGAAAATTTTAAATTACAATTGAAAATATTTTTCCCTAAATTGGAAAGATACAGTTGTCTTATAGCTATATCATAGCAATTCAATAAATAAAATATTATAATTAAAAAATAAGATGTATATCCATGTATCGTAGTTAATATTTGGTATGATATAAAAGAAATATAAAAATAAAATACTTTCTTGTACATTTTTACAGTGTGCGCAAAATTTAATTTCTCTTTCTTTTTTAAATAAGAAGTACAAGTAATTTAAAACTTATCTCGAAAAGAGTTTATATTTTTAATTAATGTTATAATAAGGATATATTCAGATAAAAGTATATCTTTTATATCATACAAATTAAAATATAATACTTTAAATATATATATTGTATGTACAAAATGTAATTATTTTATACACTACTTTATTAACATAATAGGGTATTTATAAATAGTGTGATCAATAACAAACGACCTTGTGTAAATTTAGAATTATACGTTATTTTAAACATTAATCACTACCGATTTTAGTTGCTGAAAAAAAGGTATACAAATGCCCTATTGTATTGTATTGTAATATATCTTCATATATGATATACATAGATAAAAATATATCATTTTGTAAAATTCATAAAGTTATTTAAAAAAAATTTAAATCATCAAACTTATTTTCACATTAAATAATTTTTATGTCTTAGAATAATCTATATTTTTAAGAAATTAAACTTATACTCTTTAATAAGTTCTTTTAGTGCCATATGAATTTATAGAAATACTTATTGCACGCGGTATGCGATGTATACAATATTTTTGTGCAGCGATTTAAATATTTTTCAAAATATCACATTCTTTTCATTGCATTATACTATTTAATCATCATTAATTAAATTAACATAAATTAAATAATATTATTCTTCTTATCCATTACCTATAATATTAAACAGCAATTTAAAAAGTTATAACATCTTAAAAATGATCAACTGTATCATCTTTAATATAAGAATTTGTCATTTGTATACTTGTCCAATATTAATTTCTATAATATAAATTTGCAATACTTTCTGGTGCAATAATATTGACTGATGAGACACTCATAAATTTATCTATAATTTACTTGAAACTAAATTTATTTGACCATTAATCAGACCAATCCTCGTCCTCTCTGTAAATTAATTGTAAATTTGTTAATTTTTCGAAATCTTGATGCATATAAAATATAACCCCTCACCAACAATAAGCTTTGACAGCAAAACAAATGTTTAGATGCCATATGATCTTCATCACCATTCATTTTTTGTATCTATACAACAACCATAAGCTACTCGCTGAAGCTAACAGATAAGAGTTTTTTTAATAATATATTTTTTTCTGAAACAATATATTATTGTTATATTACATATTATTTGATTGTAATAGAAATAAAAAAAAAGTTTATAATTTTGAATTTTAAAATACATACTGAAAACATTATGGAGGAAAAAATTAAAACTATACTCAAAATCACAGAAAATTTTTTGTCAAATTATAATAGACGTCATTATTAATAATTCTTCATATACATTTACAATATAAGCAGAGAAATGACAGCACATTTAGCACATCACACAAAATAAATTAAATACTTAATATAGACCCGTGACTTGGACGTCTTTTGCTTTGTTTTCCATGTATCTGACTCTGATTTTCCACGGATAAATTAATATTTAGTTGTGCTGTTGATGCAGTTACTTCATCATCTGATTCCATTGGACTAATTCGAATGGCTTGATACCATTGATTTGTTAAATCTGTCATTTGAGATTTACAATCTTTTAATTCTTGTTGTGTAAACCTCCTTGTAAAAAAAGGAATAAAGAATTTAAGATCCCATCTTGCAAAACCACGAATACGAGACTGAAGAAAAGATACTTCAATCTCTTCTTCTGTAAGTTCTGATAAATGTTCAGAATCTATTGTTTGTCCCTAAAATAAAAATATATATATAAAATATAAATATCTTTTTTATATTTAATATCTCTCTAACATACCCATTCTCTAGTTTTACTTAGTGACACTTCTTTATCTTTCCTTTTCCTTCTACTATTATTCTTTTGTTTCTTTTCTGCTCTTAAAAATTTCAGTAATGGCATAGTAGAACCACCAAATATTAGTGTTGTAAACAGTACAATAATTAATGTAGTGGTTATAATTACATGTCGTGTTTCATCGCTAAAATCCAAATGTAATGATAAAGCATAAGAAATAGCACCACGTAAACCACTAAACCACATTATGAACATCATTTTCCTAGTAATCTGATGTTCTCGAAAACGATTTACAAGAAAAGCTAAAGGAAAAATATTTGCAGCTCTACCAATCAAACATAGAATTATAGACCATATAATCAGTGCTGGTTCAACCTAGAATTGATAATCAGTATTAATATATAGTCAGTATAAATATTGATAATATATCAGTATAAATATATTATAAAAATTAAATATATATCTTATATCATATTACTTTACCCTATGTCTGAAACTAAATAAAGCTAATCCTAGATATGCAAATACACAAGTTTCAGCAATAAATGCTAAAGTTCTCATAGTTTGTTGCATTGTAATTTGAGTAACAGTTGATAAATTGAAATGTGTATAATGTGACATTACAATTCCATTAAATAAAATTGCCATAATACCTGAAATAATTTAATATATTTGAGTATTATTTATTTCACTATACTAAAAATATTAAATTTTAAATTAAAAAATTTGAATTTATGTACATACCAGATAGTTGTATGCCTTCTGCCAAAACATAAGGTGCATAAGTAAATACCAACATAAGTCCAAATTCAAGAGAAGGATTTTTTCTAAGATCCACATGTTTAAGTAATAATGCACTTATGAGAGCAAAAACAACTCCAATGCCAGCAGAGGCAAAAAACATAAGACAAAATCTATTTAAACCAAGTATAATGGCCTCACTGGTAGTTGTTGCATTATTAGATTCCAGTACAGATGTAGTTAATACAATTGAAATGGCATCATTTAATATAGATTCACCAAAAACTAACATGTTTAATACTGGATCAACTTCTAAGGCATGAAATATAGCTACAGTAGCAACAGGATCAACTGCTGATATCAATGATCCAAATGCAAAACTTTCAACAAAACTAAGTTTGTATGCTACCTGCGCTAATCCCAACAAATAAATTCCAGCTCCAATAACAAATGCAGATATTGCTGTTCCAAATATAGCAAACACTAAAATACTACCAATATTCTGAAAGAAATTTCCTTTGTGCAAATTATATCCTGATTCAAATATAATAGGTGGGAGGAGTACAAGAAAAAATGCAGTTGGAGAAAATGCTTCTTCTTTTCTCCAATTCGCAATATTTTGATTTGACATAAGATTTATAATCATACCAATAGCTCCTCCCAAGAAAACAATTACTACTGACTCTGGTAGATATTGAAAATTTGTTTGTAGCATAAGATGTATAAGTAAAATGCCTAAAGCTAAAACGCAAAGGACGAAAAATATGGACATAGAACTGTTATGTTCTTCTTCTGCGGATCCCTTATCTGGTAATACCGGTTCTGCTGGTACAACTGTTGTTGTACTTGTATTTGTTGTGTTGCTAATGTCTGGACTTTGTGAAGAAATTGTGAAATCTGACATGTTGTTTCCAGTTTTATCGTTAACAGTGCTTGTAGATACTGTGTTAATCTTCTCTGTTGTTTGATTATCACGATCTGGTCGAATTGAAGTTGTAGATACATTTTGAGATGTATTTATTATACTTGCAGCTGTAGTATTCAATTTTAAATTATTGTTGTCAGAGTTTTCGAATGTATGTAATTCTATTGATACATTAGTATTTAAGTTCGTTGGCGTGGAATCTCTTGATACATTATTTTTACCATTTAATGTGAGGTTAGAAACTTCTTGCGCATTTGACACAATAGTCCACACATCAAAACCGAAAATTATAATATAAATTACAAAACTTTTAGGTAAAAGTTTATTACTGATTGAATAAAACCTCATTTTAAAAATATTTTCGGTGCTTAAATGTACACTTCTCTATTTACGTTTAACATTGCGACGACAGCTGATTCAGATTACATATTTCAATATCTCGTGATGAACTACGTCATACACAGAACACGTGTTTCAATAGAAAAATTAATATTGAAAATATATACTAATAGAAAATGTTTCATACAAATTATAAATTATTTTACAATGTTGTTTCCCATAAATTAATAAAAAATGTAATAAAATGTAAAGAAGATAAATAAAATCTTATAAAATTAAAATATACAATAAAATATGAAGATTGAAAAATTGCAATCCTTTCAAAACTAAAACTAATGTTTTTTTGTCTATCATGAAGTCTTCTTTTATTAACTGTTAATATTTCTGTAAAAAAGAAATAAATTAAAATCAGTATCAGTTTAATTAATTTATAATAGAAAAAGTACAATTATTACATCTTACAAATAACATTTGTAAAAATTAAAGAAATTAAATGAGTTTGAGAAAGCTTTTTCTTAAGAAAAACACAATGATACAATATAGAAATTATTGTATTTATTATGTTTATTCGTTATTTTTTTTCATAAAAATTGATTCATTTTCATAACAACTTGGTAATCCACAGCGACCAATTTCTGCTGAATGTATTGCATCTTCGCCTAATCTTTGTTCAACTCCTTTCCATGACCTATTGTGTAAAAATTCTGCTCCTGCTTTTCCAATTGCAACAATGCCTAAATCATTTAAAATAAATATATCAATAAAATATATTTTATTTTTTGATATTTTTTAGAATTATGTAAATACCTGATGAATTATTAATTACTAAAGCATTCATTTTATCTGCACATGGAATACTTTCATCACAGTTTCTAAGTTCACCAGTAATTAAAGAAACATCTAAATCTGTTGATGTCTTAAAATCAACATAATTCATTCCTCCAGGAAGGATTTGTCTAAAATCGATACAATAGTGTGTATAACACTCTCTTAAACTATTAAATGCCAATTCTACTTCATAAGGCATTAGTAGTGGTTTTAGAAATTCTCTAGAATCAAATATTTCATTTTCAGGACATGTTATTACAACAAAGGCATCAATCTGGAAAAATAGTTTATTATTAAAATTATTAACAATATCAAAAAGGTATCAAATATTTTAAATAATGTCATTCAGTATATTTTACCTCAAGAAAATTAGCAAGTTTTGCTGGATTTATTTTGCCAACACTTAGAATATAAGATTTTTTCTTTTTTGCTTTTAAAATATTCTTAAGCATTGTTATTATTGTAAGATAATCTTTAATGCCTAGAGTAGCTATGACTATACCAACAACTTTAGCATCTTTTAATTTCTCAACTAGAAATCTTCTTCTTTTCAACCATGGTGTATTGAATATTTCATATTCGACAACATTATTATTTTCGAAATAATACCATTTTTTTGCAGGAATTGTCATTGCTAATGTAGTAAATGTCTTTCCATCGTTTCCTAAGAAAAATGCTACATAATCTTCTATTTTATATTTTTTATCTAATTTAAAACATCTGCCTAAGATTGTTGTAAATGAATCATCTATGACATCTGTAAATTCTACATTAGAAGTACAATTTAATGAAGTGAAGATTAAATTGTTATAAACAGAGCTTAATATTTTATATATATTTTCTGAAATGGAAATACATTTGTAAGAACATTTGAGTATATTTAAATGTATTAAATTAACTATTCTTTACATTTAAAAGACTTACCAATTTTATGTGCATAAGTAATATCATAAAAAAATAAAATTCTTTCAGATTGATCCGCAAAATACAATTTAAATTTATCAATAACTTCTGTTATATCAATTTCTTGTTTGGGTAATACATGAAATACAGGTATGCGAGAAGTGGGATTTAAACAAGCATGACCAAAATGTATTATACTATCTGCATTAATATGCTGAGCAGCTACTTCATCAACGCAACAACTACCATATGAGGTGTCTCCCAAAATATATACTTTCTTATTAATACGATTCTCCAAACGTAATGCAATTTCTACTGAATCTGGTAAAAGGTTATCAGGAAATTGTAGGCAAACCTAAAAATATATAACAAGTATCAGATTAATATTTCTACTATAAATTTATAGTTGTGAATTTTATTACTTTTAAATATAAATCTATTAATGAAATATTAAAGTATATGTCAAAATAATGACAGATACAGCTAACCTCAAAATTGTATTCTTTAACCTATCGGAGATATACATATTGAATCTCTTGTTAAAATTTAATCATACACTGTTAATTAATAACACAACTATCACGTAAATAAAATACTCAGACCTTATTTAAATTACGTTCATCAATCCATTTACCACATTTTTCTATCGCGTAAAAATCATCTCTGCTAATATCGTTCATTTTGTCCATATCTTTTTCGTTATTTCTGCAATCACATTATTTTATATGCCAACACACTGAATTATATATAATAAAAATTATTTACAAACAAATACATTTACATATACCGTAAATTCCTCAATGTGTTATGTAAACATGCAATTACATTTGCATTAGTACTGGAGTCACGTATATTATCACGCGACATACATATATCGTTGAAAAATCTATGTAAACTATATTCGCCTATATATACTGCTTACTTAGAGTGTGATAATAAAAATAATTATAAATTTGAAATTCTTTATAATTTTCATTTATGTTAAATTTCTTAATTTCTATTTATTAAAAACATACATTTTTGATATTTCATTTTAATATTAATTTTACAATATGCATTTTTAATTTAACTTACCTTTCAAGTATTGATTATTACTCATAATATCATTCAAGTTCATATTGCATTAAGTTTTATAATTAAATTTCATATTTCCATATATATAATTAATGTTAATTAATGTCATTTCTATTAACTGAACAATTTGATATGATTACATATTTTGAAATATCTATTATAATGTCAAAATAATTTTTATAACACCTACAAGTTGAAAATTGAAGTCAATGTGTTAATAACTAAAAAGATCCAAGTGTGCATTATAATTTAATTTGAATTTTATAATCTTTGGTATGTAGGCACACACAAAAAACATGCAATTTAATATAAATTAAATATCACATAAAGCATATTTATAAGCATCTGTTAAAAAATGCTTTAATTGTACTAATATTAAAAAATAGAATAATCTAAGAAAATTATATAATTTAAAGAAATAATTAGACTAATAATATTTGATTATATTACATATATGCACAACTATATCAGAAATACAATAAACAATTGTACAAAACATTTAACAACATTATGTGCCTCTATTAAAATACTATATATACCTGACAGCATAATGAAGTTGACTGAACATTATCTTATAAGGCACCTAAACTTGCGGTTAAAATTGGAACATCAGTATTTCCGCAATATTAGGAGAGGAATTATTCAGAACAAGATATTCATGATATTTAAACTGATATAATTAATAATGCTAATTGCATTTTATCGCATTAACCACTTGACTTCACTCTCATTAGGCATCTCACATTATGTAGAATTATAAATATTAGAAATCAAATTTTCTGCTGTAAAACTGAAACTTTAATTATAGACAAGGATAAAAATATTTTCGTACACGTATTCGTGAAATATCGGCAATTTATTAGGATCAAAAGAACTTTAGCATATCCAAATTTTAAAATCTTTGAAGAATTCATTAAGTCACGATTGCCGTAGAGAGTGTAATTGAATATTATGTACAAATGATTATTTCTTATTGTAATACATTACATAGTTTTGCTTGATTCTCTGTATATATGTCAGTCTTGGATTGCTTTTGCCAAAAACATTTCATTGTCTCTGTGTATAGAGAGCTATCATGAATTTTTGTGGGAAAAGGATGTAAAAATACAATCATGTAACTAAATTTTTATTGCAAAAGCACTGCTGGTGATGATCAGTTATTTTTTTAATGTACAATGTTCAGAAAATGATTAAATCAGATCATAATCTTGTATGTATAATACATACTGATTAAGAAATCTGCATTATTTAATATGTTAGCATTGATTGAATAAAAATTACAAGTCAGGTGTACATATAAGATATATTAGTTGTCAACTATGTTAAAAATAAAAAGGCACATATAGAAAGATTTGCTTTCTAAATCTTATTCACCGGTAGTCTATTATTTATTTAAAATGTCACCAACATGTAATTACCCTTTTTCCACACATATGCTCTCTACACATATACTCATTTTCTCAGATCTATTGTGATTTCATGTGATGACAAAAAATTTGTAAAATACTATATCTACTTAAAAAATGTCTGTCAGTTTGATTTTGCATTGTAACATTTAAGACTGCATATATATTAAATAAATTCAAATTATTATAGAAGTTTTTATGTTCCCTTTTCACCTTATATATCATTTGCCTTTTGTTTTCATTGTCTTCCATTTCAGTCTCTTAAACCAATACTTTCTCTTTATACCATACATTCCTCATCAACTCAGATGATTGTATCTTTGACAATAGTAATTGTAATAATAATTGTAATAATAATATAATGATAATAATAATATTAATAATAATAATGATAGTAATGATAATGATAATAATATTAATGATAATTATAATGATAATAATAATCATAATAATAATACAATAATAATTCTGAGAATAAATCTCAATAACAATAATACAAATAATAGCAATACTAATATAATAATAATAATAATAATAATAATAATAATAATAATAATAATAATAATAATAATAATAATAATACATGTTAAAAATGTATATACAATTCACCGACCCAATTTTAAGTATCTGTAAGATTTTTCTACAAGTACTACAGATAAAGTGGAATAAGTTGTTTTAAATAATTACTTTTTACAAAATTACATTACAAAGTGGCAGATTGAAAAATCTGAGCGAATTATCTATTTATTTTACTACCTATCTATCAATCTATTTGCCTATCTATCCACATGTACAGCTGCTAGATTTAGATAAACGTGATGGCTTTATTACAGCTAGACTACTGGAAAGTATACTTGTTTTTATATTATGCATAGTTATTGCCATTGCAGAAAAAATTTTCAATAAATTTTGGAGAAGTATATAAATTGCATAATCCAGATAGTCGTTTTAATTTATGTATAAATGAAATTAAAATTGTAGGATTTATACAAATAATTTAGCAACAATTTGTAGGCTTTCAAATATGCATTACCAAAGATAATGTCGCATTCTTAATATCAAACATAGTTTTTAGATTATTCACATAACCACAAAAAAATCACCAAAAAAATGTATAGTACTTTAAAAATTTTTTAAACGAACAATTAGCATGATGTTCACCATTAACTTCACTTGTTTAATATACTTTATTAAAGGAGGGTCACGAGCCTAAAATGCTACGGACTGCTTGGTCAAGCACTGTGTCCTTTGATTCACTGGATTGTGATGCACTATTACCATTGCCAGGTAATGTATTTGTAGGACGTTTTTTAAGATTAAGAATGCTATCAATGGCAGATTGTACCTGCGCTGTAATATCATCATGTTCATTACCATTTCCACTTTCGGTTGTTACTTGAAGAGAGCCTGGACATTGAGTTTGAGAATGTAAGGCCAGTCCATCTAGGCTGTCTGTATCTTCTAACAAATCTCGCTCAAGATCAGTAGCACTATTCCAACGTTTTTCAAAAACTGGAGTACTATCTTGTTCGCAATTGTCTTTTATAACTGTACTTTGAACTCCAGAAATATTCGCATTTGATACAGTAAGACGACATTCACCATTTGCTCGTGTTCTTTCAGTTTTAGATGACCTTGTAACAGCCACAGCACATGCACTATTACTACCACTGTTATTAATATTTTTACATTTAAATGAGTCTGTGGTAGATGGATATACACCAAGTTCTTTTTGTATCTCTACCCACTCATCATAATCACCACTAGTACAATTTGCTGATTTAATCACTGGTTTGCATTCTATTTCGTCACTTAGAAAGTCGTCTTCTAATTCACGTTTTACAGACACATTAGTTAATGATGGTGATAATTTGTCTTCTTCTGTAAGACCAGGTTCAACCTTTGGCACCAATGGCTTTTCTTCTTTTTTGAACTCTTCTATAAAAAAGAAATAAAAGAAAAAAATTGTTATAATACATAATATCTATGTTATAATACATAATATCAAAAAATATCTATATATTAACATGTTGACTTTACCATTAACTTTAGCCTCTTGTTCTCGTAACCTATTTAATATACTTTGTTCTTCAGCAACAAAAGTTCTGTCAATCATCATCAATTCTGATGTCCTCACTTCTCGCTGTAAGTTTCAATTAAGTGATTATCATAATTTTAACAAGATTAAATATTTTTAACATACCATGCTTTCCATTAAAAGAAGATACGTGTATTTGTTCATCATGGAATTGAATTTTGATAGAAGATGTTTGGCTGTTTCTTCAAACATTTCATCAGCTTTTGCCAAATCTTTAGAACTAAGTACTTGCTCATTTAAACAATGATATCGTACAAGACGTTTACAAGCATCACGTTTGCTCAAAAATGGCGTATTTACGTCTGGATTTATCGCACCATTTTGATCAATTTTTAATTGCTGTTCTAATCTGTAAATATAAAAGTAAAAATATATAAAATTTAAGAATAAATATTATCATATTAATAAAAAGTTATACTTACAAGTCACTACGATTAATCTGTCTGCAAATTGGACTGGATGCTGGTCTTTTTACACCTTGTCTGGGGCTTACTAAAGGACTTGAATTATTATTAGGACTGACAGTTTGCTTATTGGAATTACCATTAGTGTTTACAGGACTTTGAATTCTTTGTGATCCTTTGCCAATCATTCTAGGTGAGGCTACCTGTCCTGCAGGTGAACCACTTTGAACTTGTATTTGAATAGGTGAAGAAAGTTCTTGTTTAACAGGACTTGATATTTGCATATTTGGTTTTATGTCTAATGGGTCTGTTTGACATTGGGTTGACTGTTGCATTCCAGTTTGTTGAGTTTGAACTGAAGATAACTGTTGTGCGTTACTCTGCACAGTAGCTACAGAGGTAATTGGTGGTGAGAAAATTTGTATATTGGCAGAGGACGGACTTAATATCTGATTTCCATGATTCTGATAAATCTTGTGCTGTTTTGTGTGCGTTTGGTGTACATTTTGATTATTTTGTACACATTGTTGCCCTTGCACATTTTGTGATATCTGTAAAATTTCACAATAAATAATTAGTAAAAATATAAATGAAAATTCAATCATAACATAAAAAATTATTGTATACCGAAAGGTTGTTCATATAATTATTAGATGAATTATTCTGTACCGTTGAAGATGTACTTGGATTTAAGTTTTGTGAAGTTACCACAGTAGTTGATGTCTGTGTTTGAGTTTGTACAGCTGATGTCTGATTTTTATAACAATTTTGTGATATTAAATTTGGTGCCATTGTTGAAACTGCATTTACACTAAAACTTGTTTCTGTTCCCTGTAAATATAAAATTAATGTTGGAAAAAATTGAAAATTAACGTCAAAAAATGTACAATAAAATGTAATTTTATTTTTATTTTATTTTATATCACAAAATTTTTGCTTTTTTTGTATTAATAATATGACAAGACTTACACTACTGACAGAATGTGTTGTAGTACTAACAACCTTTCCACTTGCCAAAATTTTTGCTTGTTCTTGATATAATTTTGTTAAAACACTTTGATCTGGTTGTGAACCTGATTTACGAGCTAATATAGCTTGTATTTGAGACTGTATATTTTTTAATAATTGTTGTTTTTGAGCAGGAAGTTGAATAGTCTGTACTCTTTGAACCATTTGACCATTTGAGGGAACTGATAAGTGATTTCCAGGAGAAGACGGAAGTACAGGACCATTTGTAACAACTTGTGAAGATTCACTCTTAATTGGATTTGTACTTTGTGACACTACAGTATTTACTTTGTTAGAATTATCAACTTTTTGAAGATTAGTTATATTTGTTGATAACATTGTTGGCCGGGAAACAGTAATTGTTTTTGTTACCTATTATCATATTAAATTAACAATAAAAAGAAGACTTATTAACAATTAAAAAAGTAGAAAAGTCAAAAAAACTTACGCATACCTGTGCATTTCCAGTATTTTGGGTAGTAACAGCAGTTTTTGTTCTTTTAACAATTTTTGCCTTCTTTGGTTGATTATTACCTAAATTTCTGATTTGTTGTTGATTTAAATTGTCAATAAACTGACTAGGAAAACTGGAATTTTGAATTTGTATATGTTGCGGCATTTGAGAAGGAGCAGCTTGTACTACAATATTCTGTATATTATTTTGAATTGTAGGAGCTCCACCAGAACTATTCACAATTATTTGACTCGTTGGAGTATTAATTTGTACACCTTGTAAATTCTGGTTATTTGCATCTGGCTCACCAATCACTATTTTTTGAGTTTGGTTTTGATTTTGTACCTGGTTAGTTGCATTTAATTGTCCTGCTAAAAATTGTTGTAATAGCTGCTGACTGATTACTTGCATTTGTCCATTTGCATTTGCAATTAATAACTGATCATTAGGATTTAAATTACTCAATGCATTTAAAATTTCGGGAGTAATTTTTGGTGCATTATTTAATATATTGTTTGCTGCTGAATTAAGCATTGTTGTATTTTGGGTTTCTACTTTTTGAGATTCATTTTGTTGCATAACAGTTGAAGGAGGAGCATTTGTAATCACAATATTTTGATGTTGATTATTTTGCTGTGTATTTAGTCCTTGCTGTATAGCATTAATTGTATTCTGGGATTCAAAATGATGCGTGTTCACAGAAGAAAATGTGTTTGCTGCAACAACTTTTTGTTGTTGTACATTTACATTTTGCTGTACACTTGTATTATGCAAAATAGCAGATGTATTTTGCTGTTGCATATTTGTAATAACATTTTGTTGCGCATGAGTCAAATCACCAATGCCAGATTGTTCAATATTTTGTACATTACTAGATGCATTTTGCTGCAAAACATTAATTGTATTTTGTTGAATACTAGAATGTTGTTGTAAAACATTCATAGCATCATGTTGCATTGCCGTATTGCAAGAACTTTGTTGTTGTAACATGTTTAAAGAATTATGTTGAGCATTTGATGCAGAAGTTTGAAGATTTTGTTCGAAAACTTGTTGGACATTCTGAGTTTGTACAGTCTGTGCTGTTATTTGTTGGTGTTGATTATGCTGATATATTGGTGTTTCTTGCTGCAATGTTATTGACTCCTGTTGATTTCCTTGTTGATGGCTCTGATTACTTTTTGTCACAGTATGTTCATTTTGTACAGTTAAATTATTTGGTAATGATTTTTGAACATGAGCAGCACTCTGAGATATTTTATTTAAATTTTGTCGCACATTAGTAGTAACACAAGCATTTGTAAGTCGCACTTGACTAGATTTTTGTGTGGAAACATTAGAATTTTGTTGATTATTAGTACCTTGACTCGTATTAGTTAATCGAGAATTTTGTACATTGAACGTAGTACATGAAGGTTTTGTTGCTAAAACGTCAGGCGTTAGAACATTACTGTTTGGTTGTGAAAGGCTAGAATTAGATGACTGATTAGTTTTTGTTGTTGATGCGAGATTTTGTACATTGATATTTTTCGATGCTTGCATATCCAATGTTTGTAAAGATACAAGACTGTTTTGGACACAAACATTTAACACAGGACTGGATTCTTGAGGAACATTTACACTTTTCTGTTGATTATTTGATTTTGAGCATACTTGCACATGCTGTGGACTAGTTGCACAAGTAACACTTTGTGGAGCTGTTGAACTTACAGTAGTAGTAACCGTTGAAACACTGGATGATAAAGGTGATTTAACAAATTTTTGTCTTTGTAACACAGTATTTTGTGTAGATTGTGTTGTCGTTTGCGCTTGTCCAAGAAGGTGAGAAATAATTGGAGAATTTTGTCCACCACCTTGTGTTAATGATCGTATTAGTGCTTGAGCAGTAGCTTGATCCATTTCAGGCTGATTTAATTCTGGAGTACGATGCAAAACAACTCTTCCATCCTCTCCAAGAGCAAATCGTAATTGTCCTTGTACATTTTGCACAGGCATTTGAAGTTGGGCAACAAGTTGGCTATTAAACGTTTGAGACGCGGAAGTTTGTGTATTCGTTGTATTTGGTGCAGGTACTTGTATCAGATTCTGAGCAGAACTGGTAGGTATCGTTACTTGGGATGAAAGTTGTCCCAGAGTTTGTCCTGAACTTGAGTCAACTTGAACTTGACAAGAAACATCTGATTCAGTTGTAAGATCAGTATCAAAAATATCATCATCATCTCCAATTCCTGATATTTTCATTATACTAGCAAGATCCAATTTTGGTGGTTCATCGTCTTTCCGTTTTGCTTTCTTTTTCTTTTTTGCTTTTTTCTTAGGAGGTGGTAATAAAGATTGTTCAACAACAGCTTGCGTACATGGAGTGTTACCAGTATTAGAACTCGATCCTACTTGTGAGATTTGTGGTTGAGGACTTTGTACCATTGCATTTTGAATCACTATAGAATTACCAGTCCCTGAAGTAGCAGCTACATTAGGAGATAAGATAATTTTAGTATTTTTACACTTTTTTATACTAAAGTATATTTAAACAAATTATCAAATATAAAAACTTACAAGGTGCTGGACTAGAAGGAGTATGTCTAATTACTGGAGATGCAGCTGGAGGAAAACCATTAGGTACAGCAAAAAACGTAGGTGTAATGCCTTGTAACTGCATACCTTGTGCTGTCACAACTCTAACTAATTGCTGTTGTGTTAGCTATGAAAAGAAAATAGATTTATAGAAGAAGTGAACATATTTTTTTCATTATATTAGTTAAAAAAAAATCCTAATTTTTTTCATGTTATTGTTCTAATATATTTTTTAACTTATTTACATTAAAGTAATTTATCTGAAACTTAGATGCTAAATATAAAACATAAAATATATATAAAATCCAACTGATGACATAGCATGTAAAAATTTGATATATTTAAATAATATTTAAAATGAAATGTAAAAAATAGATTTTTAAAGTATTAAGTAAGCAATGACTGTGAACATGATGAAGTTGAATGGTTGAATGAATGAAACCATCACCTGTGCAGTATGTGTTTGTTGCTGGGCACTCGCTGGCGTTCTTAGTATGAGTTGAACACCACCTGGTTGTTGTTGTACAATAACGGGTCCAGTTGACGGCAGAACCTATGTATGAAATGTGATAAACATATGAAGCACAAAGCAGATATTCGTGACACCAAAATGCACGTAAGCTGCTACAATAGATATCAAGCATATTAAAAATACTATATATAATATTGATAACTACTAGAACAGGCACAATATACTTTTAACTGATCACATAACAAACATGCGTATCATTTTTGATAAACATTTTAAATAGATGTTATTACCTGATTTAATAATAGACCTTGTGCTGTTGGTATCATTGTAGCTGTTGTAGGACTTGGTTGTGGTCCAGCAAGAACTAACTGTGGTTGAGTTTGTTGTGTCACCTTATAATAATTCAATAATTCAAATTTTATTAAGAATAAATATTATGTTTATAAAAAAAAAATTAAATAAGATTACTGTGTACAACAATATATTACTTGATTTGTAATTGTGGTAGTAACACGTTGCTGTTTTTGTTGTGATCCAGCAGCTTGTTGGTTTGGAGGTTTTGGTAAAATTTGTGGTGGCTGTTTTGTAGGCTTAGTTGCAGCTATTTGAATTTGTTGATTTCCAATCAAATGTGTCCTAGTCACTAGTTGCGTTGGTGTTGATTGATACCCTTGTGGTGTCCCATGAATTATTTGCAATACTTGCATACCTTGTTGTAGTATTGGTGTATTGGGTCTAACCTGCAAGTAAATTAATTATTAGTACTCGAGTTTTTTTTACATTAAGTTAATAATAAGTTATTTCTTACCACAGGTGGACCAGGACTTCCACCAGGTGCTGGACTTCTGTTGTTCAGAGAGTTATTTCCACTTAACAAATGAGGACTTTTTGCAGGAGGATATGGACTAAGTACAGGACTTTGAATTTGGCTAACACTCATTGGACTCTGCATTGGGCTTTGCATTTGTATATTAAAATTATTATTTGATGTTCCAACAGGACTTGGACTATTTCTATTAGATTGTATTGAATTAGACGCTGGACTTCTAAGTAGTAGTCTGTTAGGACTAGGGCTTGGTGTAGGTGGTGCAATATTAGATGCTGGACTTTTTAATGGTATTGAAAATGGACTGCTTGGAGAACTAATATTTTGACTTTGAATGTTCTGCATAGATTTTACAGTATTTATTGTACTGACCACATTTGATGGTTGAGACGAGCCCGTTAATGTTACCGATGAACTTAAACCAGGGTTAATTCCCTGTGAATATTGTCGCTGAGATTGAAATCCAGTTGACTGAGAAGAACTTAAAGAAGTATGACTCAGTGACATATTCGGTTCATTTGATGCAGATATATGCTGCACATTAGACGTTGATACATTAGATAAATTTGAGTGCATTGTACCAAGATGTGGAATATTTGTAGTGAGATTCACGTTTGAAGCGTGATTCACATTTGCTGTGGTTGAATGAATTGGTTCACTGGAAGTGCTTGTGAATATACTGGAACTTGTCAAGGTACCAGTATTTGTTATTTGTGAAATAGTAGAAACGTTTGAATTCGGGTGCTGCGATATAGCAGAACTTGGTACATGTGCAATATTTGACCCAACAATGTGTGGTGCAATACTCTGTATACTTTGTATGGCTTGGAATGGAAATTGTGTACTGCTGGAATTTAGACTAGTTTGAGTTAATCCAGTTGTTAAAGCATTAATAGATCGATTGAGGCCTTGATTCATACCAGAATTTATACTGGTAGTAGTTAAATTTGCATTTATATTTGGATTAATAGCAGTTAAACCAGATACACCAGAGCTTGGGGATGTAAAATTTGTGCTCAAACTGGTAACATTCTGGTTTATGTTTGAATTTAAACTTGTTAAATTCTGATTTACATTGGTAATTCCAGTATTCACACTGGATAATCCAGAATTTATATTTGTTGAATTTAATGTATTGAGCCTATTAATTCCAGTATTTATATTATTTATATCCTGTCCCAAACCAGATAAACCATTATTAATACTGTTTGAACCAATATTTGAAGTTAAATTTGAGTTTATGGTATTTAACTGATTGAGACTAGGATTTATTGTAGTTAGTCCTGTATTTATACTTGGCAGGCCCAAATTGAGCAGAGGATTTGATGTAGTGATAACATTAGATGTGAGGGATGTAAGGCTGGTATTTAGAAGTGATAGTGGCAATCCCATATTAAGGCCCACCCCAAAAGTGGGGGTGGCCGGGGGTAGGCCCATACCAGTCCCTGAGGGATTTATGGTACTCTGATTTAAATGGTTTAACTGGTTTACATATACTATATGGTTTCCAGTTGTTGACCTATTTCCTTGGTCTTGCGGCTGTAAGTTTTTATCATAGAAATATTACTTACTTACTTTAATGATGTATGTTTCCAAATGAATATATATATTTTACAGTACTTACATTATTTGATGTTTGTTGTAAAGCAAATGTCAATGACTGACCACTCGAATTTTGAGCCTGCAGTTGTTGTAATTGTTGTAACTAAAACAAATTGCAATGAAAACTTAAATATTATTCAATTCTTAGATATTTAAAGCTTCATTTAGAAAAGTCATACCTGTTGATGTGTCAAAACAGCAACAGGATTGTTACGCCGAGCAGTCGGGGAAGTTGTAGAGGATACTGAGTCCCCGAGAAGAGGGCGTGACTGAGGCTGCTGCATGCCCACGCAGCCCCTCTTTACTCTGGGTAGCGTCTAGCCACCTTTTCAGCTTATCTATCTTTGCTTCTATATCTCTATATATTTGTAAGACATTGTGAAAATTATATGATAACTAGCTATATAAAATGATACAACATAATATAACAAACATAATTTTATATAATAATAATAAATATAATTATATAATAAATATAATATAATAATAAACAATTTTATATAAATTAATTATATAGACTTACCACTCATGAATTACAGCTTAGTGATAGAAGAAAATTGTATTTGCGCTACGGCGCCATTCAACGCGTCTGCGACCTACGTCTCCTATTCCTGTCATGCATGTAACTTCTTATTTCATCTGTTGTTTAGGTAATAACCTTTTATTTTTTCAAAATATGTTTATTTACATAGGTTGTTGACATTTGTTCTCAATATCACACTTTAATGTTAACCATATTTGAATATTAATTCCTTGCATATAGTAGGTAGTTCTTTTCAGAACTACATTATCCATTAAAGAATAATTGTACAACTGCATTTTGAAAGTATTCTAACTTATCTTTAAAGCACATTTGTTGCAAAATTACATCCATGTATAAACACAATTGAACTACATTTTTCCATAACACATCTCTGTATGTCACTTTATAAATAATGTATTGTGTATTATCTCAATTTTAAATAACATTTGGTAGATATCCTTCAGTAATTTATTAATGTTTAAAATACTAATATCAAGACATTTTCTGTTTGAACCATAAACATAATTCAGATCTATGTTAACTTTAGAGTTGTTTAAAAATGTCACACACCACACTTATGGCTTCACAAATCCTATATTCAATCTGTATCCTGTAACATGTAAACAATATTCAATTAGTCATTATAGATAAAATGACACTTTATAATTTCATTCAAATTGAATTGTTTCTTTTGAATTTATATCAGACTATTAATATTTAAGTTTGTTAGAACTTGTACTGTAAAACAAAATACATAATATTGGTAAGAAACGATGTCATGTACACTATGTTAAAAACCATATCGTTGTTATGATACCATAACACTTGTATGTACAAATAACCGTTTTAAAGCGCGGAAAAAGTTTTGTAAAAAGATTCGACAGCTGGAAGCATATTTTGAGGTTATAACTTACGCGCCTGTGTGCAAGCATACGTGCCACACAAGCCACTTACACGCATACAAGAATCGCATACATCTCACTCTCACTTATAGGTACCAGCGGCGCGCGGATGCACACAACAAAAGCCCAACTGACAAGGCGTAAACAAAAGAAAAAGCAACCATCTGTGAAAAATTTTTCAGTTCGAATAGCTGAAAAACTCGGAGAAGGTGTCCGGGATACAACTATTTCATATTGACGCGAAAAAATGCGAATAGCGTCGTGATGAAAAATTGTCAATATTACCTCCGCGAACGCGGTTTTACCATCCGTGTTTTTTTCTCGTGATTTTACGTTTTCTCACCTTTCTTTTCACATGATTTCAGTTCTGAACACAGTATTTTATTTTTTCACAAATAGAAACACGATACATGAGATACATAAGAGGAAAAATTCTACTTAAAATAATACACTGTTCTGGCACACGACAGTTTCATGTACGCGTTACACTATTCGGAGGTAACTAGAACTGGTAACGGCCATTATGTATTTGTCAAGGCTGCCATTAGCACAAGCACAAGCATATAAAATCCCAGAACTTTTGCCATTGGCGACACCGTGGTTGTGGTATTGTAACTTTTTGCATCATCTATTTAGCAAAATCTTTATTTTCATTGGCTAATACTTTACTTGTAACTAATCAGTAAATAGAGAGTAATCTTAATACAATAGTTTTTTGAAAATTTTAAACAATACAGATTTACTAAACATTTTTATTTAATTATATCATAAGTATTTAATAAATTCAATAACATAGGACAATATACTTAGGACGTTTATTCCAAAATGAAATTGTAGATTTCATTTATATTAAGTGATTTTCAATTACAATTCATTTATATTATACACACACACACATAATATATAAATAAATAAATGTATATTTTACTTGCCGTATCTATAAATCAAATTTATAATTAAATAAATATCGTTACAAGTGCATTGTTACATGAATCTTTTTATTTTAATTATTTCAATTTAAATAACAAAAAATTAAATTATATAAACAATTCCATAATAAAACAGTAACTTAATTTAATTTAACTTATGCAGAAAATGTTACTCTTAAAAAAGATTCTAAAATTTATTAATTTTCTTACAATTTATAATTTGTTATAATTAATTATAAATCATATTCTGAATTGATAGATCCAACTACATATGCTACAACTGTTGCATGATCTAATTTCCCTGGAATCATCGAAACTTTGTCCAAAGTCTTTATTCGTCGAGTTCTCTGTTCTTGTTTGGAAAGCTGAATTAATTGGCCATCTTTATTTTGTGCATAATACAAATCTGTATCTTCCAATATTCGTCTTTTAGCGGCAGTTATGCGTACCTTGTTGTGTGTAAAAATGAAATTTTCGTTAGTGTTTAAATTGTCCTATTTTTTCCTTCATAAAAAAAGTTAAAAAGAAGTACACCATATGTATATCATTTTGCATATTTCATTATTAAATTTGGAATAACTTACTGCAAAATCTAAGAGAAGTTCGCAAAGATGTTTGGCACTGTTACATGGTGGACCTTCTCCAGAGACACCTCTTCTTAACAAATCTTCCATTCTAAGCAGTGTGAGTTCATGTCGTTGATATGCCTCGACTACAGGCAAATTTGATTTATTTCTATTACTGTTGCCAGATTCTGCATGTCTTAAGTTTTCTGCAGACTTTCGACGCGTTTTTGATCTTCCTTCAGTGTGGTTTTTTACATTTGAATCAGGTACAGAATTGTGACATGGTAAAATTGCAAACTTTCCAACTACAGGGTCAAAATTATCCGAAATTCCATCACTAGTCAAAAATACAATATCTCCTTTTTCCACTTCCGTCATTGCAAGCGTCAAGTTATTCAATTCAGGATTAGATCCATCGACAGGACCTAAAGCTCCAAGAGCGTCACGCATATCGCGCATGCAGTGAATATCATGAGATCCTCTTGTTATTTCTCTTACTCCAGTTTTCCTGCAATATCAAATATATTCTTTTTATCTTAAACAGCATTCTACTTAATATCAATAATAATACTTTTCATGTTTCTGTTTATATTACCTTGAATACACATAAGCTAAACTGTCACCAACATTACAGGTACATGCTATATATTTATTTTGTTCTGTATTAGAATCATTTGGCAGTGGGAGAACTGCACACACAGTTAATGTTGTAAGCATCCCTTGCTCTTGCAAAATTAACGAATGTGCAGCATGGAATGAACGAAGTAATGCTATAAATACGTCTTTTGTTGTAGTCATTTCTCCATTAACAGAAGGACAAAAAAGTGCTTTATTTAAGTATTCCATACTTCCGTGTACTGCAGACCTAGCTGCAATACTTGCTTTGGTACCTAATATATTTATTTTATTATAAAATATATGTGCATATACTCCTATTTTTATTTAATATCATTTAAAATAATCTACTATTATTCTGGATCATACCCCAATTAACACCATCAGCAAGTGCTAAAATAACTGAATTTGATCTTGCTACAATTCCAAAACAATCTGCTATTGGTTCACCATTATTTGTATTATTTGTAGGATTTTTCTCATATAGTGTAGTAGCAATTCCGTAAGCCATTTCATGAGGATTAAACCAATCAGTAATACCAGCAATTGTAGGAGCTGTTGTTGTTGATGCTAAAAAAAATAATTCTTTAAATACATTTTGCTATTATTTCATAACTTCATAATAACTCCAATACATACTATTTCTATACTGTTCTCCTTGATCTAACATATCAATGTAATCTATATCAATATCATTAATACTTAAATGTCTTTGTTGTACATTAACAGTTGTAAGTCCATTATCTGGACCTGTATGAGCAGAAACTACATCTTTATTTTCCTGAAAATTTCCAAGCTGTCTAATTGGTAATTCTTCTGGATTTCTGCCATGCAAAATTGCTGGTCCTTCTTGCTTTGTTTCCAAGCTGAAAATATGTATAACAATATATATTTACATTTACTTAAGATATTAATAAATGAAAACTGTATTATAAAAAGATTATTACCCATCAAGATATCGTGTAATAAAACATCCACTTGTAAAATCTTGCGTTAATGATCTAGGACTACGTAAAGTTTGTTCTCCTTGTCCTATATTTTCTACAGCTCCAGCTAAATTACTAATAGACAATTGTCGCATAAAACCAGCAACTTTTTTTCGCAAACTTGGCATTCTTTTATGAAATTAAATTTAAATGTAAACGAAGTTATCAATGCCATATATCGTGCAACATGAGGTTATAAAATAAGTGATACATATCACTGGATAATTAAATCATGATTTTATTTTGAGAAACACGTTCTTGCTTAAACCTTGAAAAACAAAGAAATTTATATCATAGTTATAAATTATGTATTATCTCTGCAAAAAATTTAACAATTTATATTTATGTTTATGTCTATTCTCACTATTGTATGTGAAATAAATGATTAAGGAACTACAACAATACAATTGTCAGAATTGAACAGTTGAATTTTAAATCAGTTTCTTTGATATATCTTTTATTCGTTTAATTTTATGATCGAACATTATTGTCACCACGTGATATGAAATAATTATTACATTCATTACAAAAGAATACTCTTGAATGATCTTTATGTAAATATTACACTTGTATCTAGGAAAAATTCTTATTATACAGAAATGAAGTCGTAATACGTACTGAAAAGCACATCGTTTTCCACTTTACCGCCATATTGATAGTATGTCAATAACCAATGAATTTCCTTATAAGTAAAATTTATACTCTATTATGTTCTTCAAAATGGAAAGATCTGTGTAACTATTAAGGAATGTTCTATGATTTTTACCTATAAATATTCTCCGCAAAATAAATTTGCTCGTTTTTTCGACTAGGACAACAGATATGTCAATTTTCCTTAATACTGAGGTACGTACGTTCAAAATCATCGTAATTCACACGAAAAGATTTTTGAAATGAATTCGAACGAAGAAATTACAATTAACAACATTCTTCCTTGACCGTATCGTTGCATTTGATAATCATACGTCACGCATTTAACAATATGCATCTATGCCGTATTTTTTAATCTGTTTTGACATTTAACAAGTCAATATGGCGTTCTCTCCACAGGTGAGAGACTAATTTTTCGCAGTTGTTTTTACAATTGTGTCCAATGCTATTTCTACAAATAAATTCATATAACGATTCAATGATTTTCAAAAAGATATACTCGCGTAATAGAGTTTGGTGTATCTAACAGATAACTTGTCAATTTCATAAATTTATATACGTTATATGCAATGTGCTTAGATGCATAGTGACACAAATATTTATTCCATTCGATGGACTTGTCATTACGTAATCATTATTTAAAATTCTGTCACTTGTATGTTAGAAGTAAAATTATATATGTGATTTTCTTTTTCCAAAATTTCCATTAGATATCGACGCGTATACAATTACACATCATTTTTTAACCGAGACAGATGTAGCATGTTTTTTAAATATTTTGTTATTACAAGAAAGTTAAATTGCATGTGATTTAATTTTTTTCCCAACGACAGATGTATTGATTTTCATGAACTTGTTGTATTCTATTTCATAGTGTATGTTTAATATTAGAAAATTTAAATTCTAAACATAGTTCAAATATGTGTGTGTATGTATATATATGATATAAATGTATATATGTATGTTCTAATAGATTCTTTGAAATAAATATGAAAGAATGAAATGTTAGACCATTTGAAATAATCAACTTTAAGGAGCTACAAGAAATAAAGGAAGAATATTTGTGTGCTAATAAATATATAAAATGTTTGAATCTCCAAAAAGCCTCCTTGAGGTTTGCATTGATTTTATTTGTAACAATGTCTTGGATTTGTGTGATGTACACCTTGGTGATACGGAAGAATATTCCTCTAACTCATTGGATACAACTACTTGTAGTAAGTGTTTATTTTATTTATTTGAGAAAATATATTTTCAATCATCTTGTCTTTTATATATATCTTACTTTATTTTAAAATAAGTTTTTCATTAGAGTTAAAGGAAGTAATTTTAGTATAATTATACTTTTCAATAAATTATAACATCTTAAATGTAATAGGTAAAGCATCTAATGATGGATCGTCAAGTTCTGCTACAAGACTTAGTTTTAGACATCCAGATGCGTTTTTACCAGCTGAGATATCAGAACAATTATTGGCTAACCTTTGTGAGAAAAAAACATTATCTGATTTGACAATTACACTTTTCAATTCAAAATCCACCAGATTAAGGTACTTACATTTCATTTTAATTATGTGAATTTAATTTGGATATAAAATGTATATGAATTATTAATTATTTTTTTTATTACTCATAGACATGTACGATTGAAAGATGCATCTACGTTATCAGCAAAAGGCTTAAAAGTTTTAAAACAACATAAAGTGGTAGATTTGATGGTAAATGGATTAAAAATAACTGTTAATGATTTAATAAGTTGTTTGGGTGATTGGAGTTTACAAAATCTTAGATCACTAAGTGTAGCAAAAGGAAGTTTCATAGATTGTTCAAGGTATTTAATACAATTAATTGTTGTTATAAATATATATTATCTATTTGTTTAATGTTTAAACTACAGACATCTATATTTTATAATAGGTATTGTGTGGTAGTAACATTAAGTAAATTGAGGTCACTGCATACATTAAATGTATCAGGTACAGAATTTAATAAACATGGTTTGGAAATAGTAGTTGAGGATCTCCCTCTTTTAGAAAGTTTAGATATTTCATGTACAAAAGTCGACGACATAACACCATTAAAAAAATGTAAAAACCGTCTAAAAACACTTAATATGTATAATTTAAAGATAAATGAAAGTGCAGATTTAATCTCAGTATTATTGGAGTTGAATGAACTAAGAAATTTAGATATCTCAGATGAAAAAGATATGCATGCTCTTAATTGTATGTTAGGGCTTGAGAAGCCAAAAATAACTGATTTTTTGAAAGCTGTACATTGTATGCCATATCTAACTAGTTTAGATTTATCTGGTAATTATATAATATACAATATGTTGCTACTATATATTTCTATATAATACACAATCAAATTAATTTTACAATTTTCTATCTTAATATTCAATATAGGTAAGGGTGATATAGATCCAAAAGATTTAAAAGAATTTGTTAAAGCTCATCCATATTTAAGGTTTTTGGGACTTGTAAGTACAGATGTTTGTTATGATGACAGTTTAACAAATCCAACAGATGAATATTACAGGCCTGGACTTGTTGTAAGTATTATTAAAATATTACATAGAAAAATAGTTATTGATTATTGGTATATAATATTTGTGATAATTGATTATAAAATAAAACAAACATGAAAATAATATAAAAAATTTAAAAAAAATATATGTAAAATTTTTATAAAGTATTCTATTTTAATTTTCAAATTGAAAAATATCTAAAAATGTTATATATTTAAATGTTATAATTAATATTTACATTAATATGTTATTTAATATTTATTATAGGTTACTGGTACAGCGACAGAATCTCAAATTTTAGAAGGTCTGAGAAGATATACATGTAGACCACTTTACCTTGAAAAATGTTTATTTAATTTATTCCGTTTGACACACAATTTTCTTGAATCCCGGATTGATGTTATAAAATTAGTATTACCCGCAATGAGAGAACATCCACAGGAAGTACGTGTACAAGTGCCATGTACTGCATGTCTTTATAATCTCACTAAGGGTGAATTCTCCATCATGATTCACCCATCAATTCTTAAGCAAGTTGTTGAATTAACAATGATTGCAATGGAATGTTATCCAACTAATTATCGGCTCCAAATGAATACATTATTAATTTTATGTAGTGACAGAATTCTACAGGAAATTACTTTTGATAAATACAGGTAACCAAAATTTATAAAATAAGATATTATTACTTCTTAACTGTTTTATTATAATTTTTAAGTTTAATTTTCTGTAATTAATAATAATTTATAGTTCAGTTATTTTTCATTTGTATAGATGTGCAAGATTAGTATTAAATTCTTTATTAACTTTTAATGAACCATCAATGAATCGCATGTCTGTTGCCATCTGCTCTATATTGGCAGCAAAAATATCAACAGTGGAAACATCTATGCTTGGTGCTCAACCTCAATATATGTCTAAATTATTAGCAATGGTTAGGACTAAAGTTGAATCTAAATCGGTAGACATAACAATGAAATTTACATTAAGTGCTCTGTGGAATTTAACTGATGAAAGTGCTACAACATGTGAAGTCTTTCTAGATGAAGGTGGAATGGAATTATTTCTTAAAGTGTTAGAAAGTTTTCAAGGACAATTTAGTGTTGAAACTAAAGTACTTGGTTCATTAAACAATATAGCAGAGGTTTGTAATACAATTCATTACTTTATAAATACAGCAAATTTAGTTTAACTTTTTAATATTTATTGTATAAATAACTGTTATCTGGTTATGACTTAATTTATTAATAATTATAAATACAGATTGGCTATATTTTGTAACTCATTATAGGTGGTTCATTTAAGACCAAGACTTATGCAACCTAGGTTCATCTCTATGCTTTCTACGTTGCTGACATCTGTACATATTGATGTATCTTATTTCGCAGCAGGTATTGCTGCGCATTTGCTTAGTGATGGTCCACGTGCATGGGCTGCAATATCCTCACTGCCAAGTAGAGATGAATTATTAGAACAATTAGCTCATACGATAACACATTGGCAAACTCCTCAAGGAGAAATGGTTGCATATAGAAGTTTCCATCCATTTTTCCCACTTTTGCGTTGTTCAGATGCATATCCTGTTCAACTTTGGGCAGTTTGGGCAATACATCATGTATGCACGAAGAATCGTAAGTATATTTGCATGAACAAACATATTAAATATGGTTATGTATATTTTTAGGCATATTAATAATAAAAATTATTATCTATTTGTTATGTTACTCTCTTGTAGCAAAACGGTATTGCAGTATGTTAATCAGAGAAGGTGGCGTAGAAATATTAAAATATTTGGAGAATATGCATACAGAACAGACAACAAAACCAAATTTACAAAGTTTATGTCGATCAATTCTTGAAACACTTAAATTAAATGTCACAAATTCTTAATGATCACTATTGCCTTCCAAACAAAATTTGTTGAAACCACGAAGTTGGTATACTAGTCAATGTTTATCTCAATGCAATCTTATATCCTGTTCTTTAAACCAAATAATTAAAAGTATTACGTGAACATGGATATTTATCAAAAAAGGACTGAAATAAAGCAAGTCCAAGATGTTGCTATTAAATTTCATAGATTTAAATTGAAGACCTGAATTATAAAGACTAGCTGTGCATTATAAAGTACATTATACATAGATCTCGTATTCAAAAAATATGTTGCATGTATAGAATAAGTTATATTTAAAACTTGATTATTATAAAAGACTATAATTCAATATTTAAAAATAATGCATTAGAAGAGACAAATTTTTAATGTTCCAATATTACAGCTATATTCTTTACTTGTTATTTATACATTATTATGTTGAATAAATATCTATACGTTTCCTGAAATCAATTAATCACATAAAAACAAAATAATCGAATCAATAAGAGTTAATTTTTGAAGAATTAACTTAATTATCTGTTACAAATCATATTATTTAATATTATAAAATTTAAAAACATAATTAGTAATTAAGGTTCCAGTCTAATAAATTCAGTAATTTAATAGGTTGTTACAAAATTTGTGATCTACTGACACGTTTAAAATGTCTTTATTTGTATTAAAATTAGGTGTCGAATATATCTTGTGGTCGTTAAAAGTATTAATAATGTTAGTAATGTTATTTAGAACCTGTATACATAATTCGCAAATGAATGTTATTCGTGTTAACATGACGAACAAAATGATAATTAGACTAGAATCTTATAAATATGATATGCTTCAAAAATTTAATTTTGTTTGCATTATGTAGCAATTAAAATATACAATAGTAAATATTTTGATATGTTGTATTTTTAATGTTTTGGATTCAGGTCTTCAATTATTTCTGTTATGCCCCACTTACAACCTTTTCATTAATTGAAAATTCTTTAGAAATTAATTGTGCATTTATATGCCTTCAGAGATATAAAGAAATAGAAATTTCTAATAAAACAAATATAACAATATTCTAGTTATATCTGTTATTAAAATATTATTAATTTGTATGAGAACAAAATTTATTCATCTGATAATATTAATTGAATTGTAAAAATGTCGATTTAAATACTATAAATGTTAATAAACGCAAATCACTAATCCTTTGTGATGTTAATTTTATTTTACCTATTCTTTATAATAATATTAATATAAATATTTGTAAATTCAATAATATATTCAACATACGATATTTAAGCCAAGAAAATCTTTATTGACCACCCAATCATGTTACATTTATATATTACATTTATATGTTAATTATCTTTTCTTTTTTTTTTCTTTTCTTTCTTTCTTTGTTTTTCTTAATGGAACGTAAAAATTGTTCATGAAATTTGAATGATTATCACTCAATTGATGCTGATGCTGCACTGCACCTGCAAAATACTTAGCGACATGGAAGTAACATTACGAAATGTGGTTCGATTATTAATATGTGGAAACTTGGCTCTCCTCCTAACATCATAGCATAGTGGATTAATAGTTCAAAAACATTTTACACGCATCTTACAAATTAGTAGCAATATGTTTTGAGATAAAATTGAGGATGTATAGTTAGTAATAAATAAATGAAAGTTGCACATATTATTATTAAAATGTCATTTTAGAAATTATAACAATTTTTAATCTCGCAACTTTCACTTACTGTGTATACAAAAGTTACCATAAATTATAGTAATATGATATTACTCTAGATATTTACATTGCAGTTCAATCTTTTTTCCACTTTATGCTTATATAACTGAAATTATTTAACACATCTCATTCAAAGTTATTACAAAAATTATATTATATTGTAATAACATTATTTAAATAGTCACATCTAGAATTTTACTTTTAGCCATAATTATATCAGCCTTTATGTTATACCAAAAATATTTCTAAAATTATTATTGCTATATTATAATTTATTAAAATCATTTTCTAAATCGCTAGTATATTTTTCTGAATATCGTGTATACTACAAAAATTGATTTCTTTGTGTACAATTTATTATCTTATGTTTAACATTATTATCATTTTTATTAACAGTCACAATCATAATCATGTAATTTAAAATCGATGATCTTTTTATATATTATATTTTGTTTCAAATAGGAAAAAATCTAATTTTAAATAATAGTTCATTGTACTAAGCTAAATAAAAATTTCAACAAATAAAAAAAAAATTTGAATTTTAGTTCAAATATAAAATTACAGTTCAGAAATTAGTATCTAAACAGTTCTAAATCAAAGAAACAATTATAAAGAGAAAGGTAACAAAGGACGACGATATCACAATTATTTAGATGTACATAAAAAAAGGAATGATACATTTTTTTATTTTGGAATAACCGAAGATACAAACATAAATTTTCTCAAAATGTTTTACATTTTTTGTGCTAAAATAATATTTAATATTTGTGGAGTTATATACTTGAATATATATATACATACACGTACACATGCAATTTATATATACGGAATATATATATATATATCCGTATATATAAATTTGCATGTGTACATTACGTATATATGGACATATACGCGTTTACACAATCAGTGAATTTTTTATATATATTAATATATTATTAACATTCCAATGTTTTACATATTTTTGTAATCTAAACAAAGTGAAATTCTTGAAAACTAATAAAGGCTGATAATACGAAAGTTGGATTTTATTGTAAATTAAATAAAAGCATAATTGAACTGCAATTGCAAATTATCGCTGATCTACATTTGTAATTTTTATATGAAGATTTATTAAATCAAATATGAATAATTGTGCCCATCTTTGTCCAATCTTTTTTTTTTTCTTTTGACATGAGGTTTTTTCTTTCTCTTTTTTTTCCCATCGTATCAGTTTTTTTTTCTGTGGACATATCATAAGAATTTACTTAAACATCTTAACTGCATGATAGTGTAATGCGTGTTCATAAAAATATGTAAGTTTTGTGTAACCTATAAACAAGATATGCACAAAAACTTACAATATTTAATGTTTACAATTCACGTGGCCATATTCTATAATATAAATTTGAACATCGTTTATTTATTTAAGAATATCACAATATAAAATATTTAATTTGTTAATATTTTTAAAATAACAGTGTTGGATAATTATATTTTTCTATAGAATACAATAAGAATATGTAAATATTGTTTTAATATATATAGGTGTTCCTTTTTTAATAATATTTAAAACATGGCCAAGTGTTAAGGATGAATACGAATTTAGAGCACAAAGTATAGCATTTCCTAAGGAAGCTAATGTATCTAGATATAAGTTTTATAATATCCACCCTAAAAGTTCGATGGATACTTTGTTTTAAATTATTTAATGTTATAAAGTTATAATTTATAAGCTGAATTATATAGATACATCAGGATATTAAAAAAAGGATCTAGTACATACAATAACTGTCACTGGAAAAATAATAGTTTTACATTCATTCAGGAATGGCTAGTGAATATTATAATAGTTTATTTCATCATTTATCTTAGTATTTATAATTTTGAAATAATATTATTTCACCAGCTTTTCCTATAAATGCATTCTTTTATAATACATATATTGATTGTCCAAACAAAAATATTTTTAATTTTGCAATATAATTGTATAATACAAAATATTATAAATATCTTCTGTTTAACGTACGATTATTTTATATATAAAAATTTATTATTTTATGTTTGAACAATCATATAAACAAAATAATTCATAAATCACAATAATATAAAAACTTACCTCAATTTGCAAAATTCCGATAAAATACATTAAAACGGTCAATATGGCATGTAGTAGCCCCGTCTATAACTCCTATGTGCAAAAATATTAGAAAAACAAGATATTTTATCTTGTTTGAATTTTTATATTTTTAATTCTATTAACATACCTAGGTCGCCTTATAGGTCTATATCCAAAATATGCACTGCCACGTATGATTCCTCTTGCTATACCTCGATAACCTCGTGCTCCTCGTGGTCCCCTAAATATTATTTCAGTATATTGTAGTATCTCCACATACAGATGTAATACAAATGTGATATATTTCTAAAGTACCTATTTGTCACTGATAATCCAGGTCTATTTGTTCTTTTAGGCATTACTTTAATTTGACGTCCCCTGAACATCGATTCATCCATAGCCATAGCTGTTTGTACAGAATCACGTTCTGCAAATTCTATATAAGCAAAACCTTTGGGATGTCCGTCAAATTTATTGCACAATATTGTTACTCTGTTAACACTGCCACAACCATGAAAATGCTGCTCCAATTCTTCTGCTGTAGCGCCGTAATCAACCTGTAATTTTGCATTATATACATTAATCAATTTTTTAATAAAGCATTGCCATTACAATTTAAACAAAATATTTAACTTACATTACCAACATAAATGGATCTATTATCAACTTCCATTTTGTCTTCAATTGACATATTTAATGGACTCGCTAAACATTTTACAAAATATCATGTAATAATTATTTACAAAAAAAGTTCATGCAAAAAGATTGTGACACCAATTTTTAATAAATGTTGGATCTAATGTAATTCATAACTTACTTATTCCAGGTGGACTGCCCATATTCATTTGTTTGTCCACTTCAGATTGTAATTGTTTTAATTTTTCTGCTTCTTCTTCCATTTCTCTGACACGTGCTTTGATAGCCTCTAATTCCTACAATAAAAAAAAATTTCGTATAAAGAAAATGCAACAAATACATGTAATAAATATTTCTTTTTTTAGTTATGATGAGATGAAACAAGCTACCGGATCATCAATATTTGCTTCATTCAATTCACGTTTTACACTGTCACACTGCATAATGGCATCTCCATCTTGACCATTTTCAAGTCCATCTAGACCATCAATATGATCAGCAGCTAATAAATCGGATTCAGACATTTCTGTAATAAATATAATGTGTTATAGAAGAACAAAATGTAAACATTGTCACCAGATATAAGATCACATACTTTTCAAATTTAAATTAAACAGAAGTTAAAATAAAAGTGAAAAAAATTAAAAATAATTTTAAAAACAATCTACTAAAGTATTTAGAAGCTTACGATGCCAAAAGCAAAGTACCGTAAAATTGTTTCAAATATATGATATAAAAAATATATTACATTTCTTTCTTTTTGTTCAAATTAAATGTAATTATCAAATATATCTTACAATAATATATACGAAAAAGCTAAAATTAGTTTAAGAATCAATACAATTTGATAAAAACAATTCTCACAGCGTGCAATGCAATAAATTATATTTGTGATCTTTGCAACGTATAAATAGTATGAATACTTATTGCTGTTAATTATATAAAGAAACAGAACGTACGTGAATACCTTCAAACGTTATTATTTAAAGCAATAACTCTATAATAAATTTAATAATTATTTTTAATCGACACTTGAGTCCCCAAGATCGCTAGATGAGATTGACGCTACTACACCGAACAAGATGAACAAAATTTAAGGTTTATGTAAGTTAGAAAATCGCCTTAATATGCATGTCCATGTATGATTGGATGCAAGGAAACAAAGGAATGGTATTGGTTACTTCTGGAAATAATAGATTTTCGTATACATGAAAATCTAATGATTTTATGGAATTTTTTTGTTAAAGAAAATATAAAATAAAATTTAAACAAAATAAAATTATTTTCTTATATATGAAATAATTTTTTTGTGACTACTAGTAAGTACTGTGCAGGGACAAAATAAAGGCATCTGAAAGGAATTTTAGTCTGATTGGATAGATTCAATGCAATCTTAAATACTTATTGGTCACATAACTATGAAAGTATCACATAAACAAAACCCTTTAAGTATGTTATATAAAGTTAGAAAGAAAACTTTCTTAGGCATAGCGGGATTTTTTTTCCCGGCTGTCAATGTTCCATCATTGCACACTGTTTTACTGCATATCATTTAACACAGTATAGTATTACTGTACTACTATTAAGACTATATGACTATATCTTCTTTATATAGTAGCATATAATAAATATAAATGTATTTTCAGTCTTAAAAAGTTATATTTTAAATATACATAATTTATAAAACTGCGTAAATTCTTTCAGTACTATTTATTCAATAACTCTAGTTTATAAACAATAAAAATTGTAATAAGAAAATGTGTGAAACAAATCGTAAACCAAAAATAATTGTTTTTGATTTAGGTTAAAAATTTTCTCTACTTGTCTCTTTTTTATAATTAGTTTTTTTAAAGAAATTTATTGCTGTTATTATGTATAGTAACTGTAGAACAAATAAAATAATTTCAGATTACACATTATGGCCATTTTGGGTTGATACTCATGTTACCCCTCCTTTTAAAAAGTAAGTTGAAAAATATAATTTTAACAAAACATAATACAAATATATAATTTTATACTTTTATTGCTGAAAATTTCTATTGAATTTGTTTAAGGAAAGAAAATGACATTGTAGATTCTCATGACCAAATTATACAACATTATAAAGAAGTACCTGATGTTTTAAAACATTTACATGAAGAAGGATATGAACTTGGTGTTGCATCTCGTACATCAGAAATACAAGGTGCTAAACAATTATTGAATTTATTTAACTGGGACAAATATTTTAAATACAAAGAAATTTATCCAGGATGTAAAATAAATCATTTTTCTAAGTAAGTGAATAAAATTTTAGCTTTATTTGCTTTCATTTTTTTAACAAAAATTTTTGATGAATTGTTTTTTTCTAGGATTCAGAAAGCATCCGGTACTAACTATAAAGATATGGTGTTTTTTGATGATGAACATAGAAATATTGTTGACGTAGGTAAACTTGGTGTTACTTGTATAATTGTTAAAAATGGTGTGAATCATACACTTGTAGAAAGTGCTCTTAAAAAATTTTAATTTTTTTAAATTTTAATAATTAATAATTTAGAGAAATATAATATATATAATCTATATAACAAATAAAATTTTATTTTTATTCTTATTGCACTACATTTTAGAGATAAAAATCTCTATTATTTATGAGTTCATATTCTTCGTAGTTAAATTTAATTAATCATTGCTAAGTAATACTGTAAAGGACTATTAATAACAATGTCATTGCTATTATCTTGATTTAGTATTTTAAAAAATTTAGCACAAGAAGTTTGAGGAGTTTGAGGAGATAGAGTTTTCAATAAGTTTGTTACATGATCATTTGATAATGATAAAGATAAAAGATGTTTTAGTGTGTTTACGTCAAAACTTTTAAATGGACATCCTCCTTCATACATGGGACTTGATGAACTCGTCTAATAACATGATAAAAAAAAAAAACGAATTTGAACTAAATAAAAAAATTTCTTGACACATACATATACATCAAGAAATGTTACTTACACACATCAATTCACAAGTAGGAGATTTGTAATTTTTTCGGGATCCTTCTAAGCCATAAAAGTGTCTAATACTGTACATAAATTTTCGTTCATTTGATTTCCAATTATGTAAACAATTAGAAGAACAGGAGTGAGGTTTAGAATATTCTTCTTTCCAATAATTTATAGCATCCTTTAGTTGCATTCCACCATCTTTTAAAAACAGACTATAATAAAAACGAGCATAATGACTAAGTCTATGTACTCTTCTTAGTCTTATATGCAGATGTTGCATACAAAGTGGAAAATTTTTTACTTCAATGTCTATATTTTCTTTAGTTATACACCCTTGTTTGATGGATGTTTGATTTTCTCGAAATATTTTAGAATGAATTTTATAATAAAGATAATCGAGTCTAGTATCCTGATTTATAGTATATTGTGCTTTTGATTTCATGCATATTACTTCTTTACTTATATGAGTATAAAACAATGATTTTAATACTTCTTTCAATTTGGAACAATATACAATAGCATATCCTGCATTCAAGTCTAATTTTCTTTTCTTTATTAAATCTGGTATTATCTCATATCTCACTTGAAAAGATAAAAGTAACAAAATTTTTAAATTATTAAATTATTAAAATAAGTTGATTTATTTACTATATATAGTAAATAAATAAACAAATAAATGTATATGTACAAATACCTTTAGTTTTGTGAAAATTACAATTTTTTGTATGATTTTTTGATACAATATGTTTAAAGACAAGTGGTTTTGAAAAAAAATTACATATATCGATTAATGTTTTGTTAATCAGTCCTTTTTTATCTTTAAACTCTTCTGATTGATGTAAAATACTTTTAAATAATCTATACAATTGTCTTGGTAAAATATAATTCAGCCTAGTTTGGAATAACAAAGTTTCTCTGACAATCCAATAATTAAATAGCTCTTGAGATATAGATGCTAATAATCTAAAATGGTTATTTATATGTTACAAAATTATTAAATAAAAATAACACAAAATTATTTGGAAGCTTACTAATTAATCATATAAATAAAAACTTACCTCAATATAAAATGTCCAATTTTATCATATACTGAATTTTCTAATAAATACTCCAAATCACCATTAAATTCATGAGGTTTACCCTCGTACAGTAGTTGTATATATTCTAACCTATCAAGAACGCACTTTTCTATAATATGAAATGATATTTTTCCTGTCGGAGGTTTAATATAAAACATTTTTAGAGCAAATACTGTTTTTAAAAGTTATCATTTTTAAGTCCTATTAAACATTTTGTATTCGAATAATTATTAATATAAAACCACAGAGGAGGTATATTCATATACCTCATATATATCGATTTGAGCAATGTATTTAAGACAAATGATGTGAATTGAATGAAATAATTAATTTAATTGCTTAATTGTAATATAAAGGTTGTGAAATTCATATTAAATAATGTTTAGAAATGTTATAGAAATAAAATAATTTAATTATTTTAAATGAATGATTTAAACTATAAAATAATGCATTTCTATGATATTTTTGTATATTATTTAATAATTTTAACTATTTACTTATAACAATTGAATTAATGATTGAATTCTCTTATACTTCTACACATAATTTTATAGTTTGAATAATTAATTTATAACAAATTATTTTATTTACAATAATGGAAAAGACAGTTACATAATATATGTATTTCTTGCTCTCTGAAACAATAAACAAGCGAAAATTTTTGTTGCGCGATTATTTAAAAGCGACTATCACTGTTTAATTTTGACTACAAATTTTTCTCTACATAAATTTTTATTTTATATATATCAATGCAGTTGTAACTTAAAAATTAATATCACAAAAATGTAATTTTAGCTAATAACAAATTTAGCTGATAACAAATTAATAAATTATTACATTTAACATTGTAATAAATTCGTGAAAGCCTAACTTTACGATAGAAAAATTACAAAATTATTGATTAATGAATACAAAAACTATTTTTTAAGAAATTAACAAAAATTATTAATTGTTCCGGATCACTAAGGATCGAAACTTCAGATTAACCTTGAACGGTACGGAGACTCATTACCAATTAAACTTCTGTTGCGTGTGCATTAAACTTTAGAAGTGAATTCTTAAATAATATTTCTGAATATTCTAATTGTTTAAACGTTATTTAATATTTAAAAAATATTACAAGTGTTAAAAATGAATTTGTGGACTGTGTTCAAACACGTATTAATTGCTGAAGAAAGTTTGAGAAGCAGAAGGCCCGGTACGGAAGAGGTATTCTTCGCATCGAACACCCGTAAGTGCGAGCAGGTAATTGCCCAAGTCTGTTCCATTCTAAAAGCGACTGGTACAATATATGGAAAGCGTGTCACACTTATAATGAAAATGAGTGAATAGGAGGGTAAATCAGATGACTCGTATTCCTTCTGTAGGTCAATCAGATCTACAATTAGCAGGAAAAGGAAGAAGACGGGGCACTTTAGTTGTGCAGACAACTCAACCAATATCGCGGAGAAAAAAGAGAATCATACGGTCCTCCCGCCGTGGGGATAGGACTTCAACGATGAAGAGTACATATTAACCATTGATCGACCCGCAATTATCCTTTAAAAGGTCCAAAATTCAAAGAGGAGGAGCTGATGAAAGAAATCAACAGTTGAAATGATGAAGGTAGTAGAAAAGGTAGCTGCAGCCTTCTCTAACATGAAAGGCATCTTCAAGCGCGAACTCTTTAATTCTTGAAAATTATATGTAATAATTATTTGGTTAAATCTTACCTTGAGTTGGAGTCAAAAACGTATGTTTTGTCTTAAAGAGTCAAAGCACAAACACAAACTAACAACTATTGATTTAAATTTTTGTCTGAGAACTTCTGGATAATATTCTTTACAGATGAAGTGTGTTTCTTTCCGCCATTATTAACCGCCAATTCCCGGTTAAAAATCGATCATGAGAAATATCGATTTCGAGTTCGAGTATCGTAGAAAGTAAATTGCGTATTCCGTCGTTGGTGCTGTAATCTTTAACTAATTTAAACCCAATACGCGCGCATTTCGCATGAAATGTTAATTTAGCATAAAAAGTAAAAAACTTTAGTCTAAATCAAATACACAAAATTCATGAGAAATTCTGTTTTAAATCATTATATTCCTTCATTGATGAAGTATCACCATGTTCAAATTCAATAAATAACTACCACGAAGTAGATATGATAATACTGTTCATATTTTTTTATTTTAACTCTCATCACTAGTAGTGCTGCGATGCAAAATCTGTCTAAATCGGTACAACAGGATATGACACGAAAGTGATGAGGGGATCCTAGGACAATCATGAAACAAAAAAATACAGTGTATATTAGGTCTATTCATATATCTCGTCGAGTAACTCAAATTAATTTTAAATACGAAAATAATTTTAATAATTACGAATAATTATTTCGAATGAATTACTGTTAGTTTAAATGGTCATTCGTCGTACGATTAGAAATGAGGGAACTTCGATATGAATTTTTTTAAATGTTAATTTATTTTCTTAATCTATCTGTCAATGTTTGAAAAATTATAAATTATATGTTGTAACAATATGTGTAATTATTTAATAATGTATATAAGGTTATAATAGTATTAAATTAAATGTACTTGTATGTAGGTATATTAAATGCTACATGAGTATAAACATATTTATGATACATTTTTTATAAATTAATATACATAAAAATAGCTTTTAGATTCAAAATAAAATTAAACCTAAAATATAAAATTAATTGTAAGTGATATTTTAAATTTTTCAGCTATTAATTATCTAAAACACGAAAAAGAAACGGAAAATGTAACCAATAAAAGTTGTTCTCATTTAGAATATAAAAGTTATAGCAACTCCAATATTTGAAAACTTCCAATTATAATTTTTATATTCAAAATCAACATATCTCTATTGCTTACATCTTCGTTATATGTATATATAAATAGTATATACATATTACATAGATTCGAGAAAATTAAAAGTAAAAATAAAATTTTTAATATCTTATTTATATATAGATATGGATTAGAAAGTGGAAAATATATTAATATTTATCACACATCATCCTTGATTTGTAAATGATTTTATTAATAAATTATTTTTTCTTATTTTGTGATGAGGATTGCTCGAAATAAACAAACGTTATGATAAAAATCCACTTTAACAACTGAACAGACAGACAATACAGAGATGTTATAGATCTGATAATAGAAGGTGATAGATTCCCTTATGTAAATGGTCTATCCAAAAGTGCAATTGACAAAAGTGTGTGTCGCGGGGCGCGCGGAATGTTTAATTATTTATAATTTAATTTTTTTAATTATTTATAATTTAACTTTTAATACGACATTCGCGCGAGCCGCAATTACAAATTGCAGATTGGAAATTTACAGATTTGGACCTGTACATGTCATATACTCATTGTACCTAATATAAATTTGCTTTAGTCTTGGAAAAATTGGATAAGGCCATAACCAAACTGGCGACAAAGAGGCGCCAGATCCTCGACTCTACCATAATTTTTTTCTTATAAAACCGATCCTCTCTTGCACTCTCACTCGCTATTTCACTCCCATCCATTCTCACGATCACGTAGTTAATTGGTAGTCCGTTCGATAATCCACTTGCCACAGTCTCACCATTAACTACATCGTCTGATCCATATTTTATTTTTGCGCCTATTTCTCGAGATTTTATCTTTCCACTCTAATCTAAATTTTGCGTTTCTCTCTTTTTTTTTTAATACAATTCAAAAGTGCGAAAGCGCAAGTGTAAATATTTGTTACCTTTTTTAAATTATAATTGTAATTTAATATTAATAATAATATTAATGATCATTACTCAATAACTTCGCACTTCAATGATCACGAGATGTCAGCGCTATGGTAACTTCAGAGACAGAAATTAAAGGTAATTATGGTAATTTATGGTAATTTTGATTTTTTGTTTTTGTTCAATATCATGTTCCAATACACAGGTTTGAACTTGTTGTTACATGTAAACAATACAAATCCATTAAGTAATTTGTAAATCGTAAATAAATCGTATTTTTTAATATGAAAAAACATTTAATCATTGTAGTTGCATATTTGCAATTACAAATAGGGAAATATGATAATTCTTGATCAAATAAATTTGTCATGTTAGAGCATAACACAGCAGAGCACATGGAATGCCCAAAAGTAATCAACAGTAATCTTAACAGACATGTTAATGCGGCATATTATTGCCATTATACATAAACACCTGAAACTTAAAATTCACTAAAAATTACTAGTCAGAATATTACAATTCATTAATTATGCTTTTGTTACTTCGCAGTTCCTTTCAAAAGTCTTTAAAATATCAAAATTATTTAACTTGTATCAAAATAATCAAACTGAAAATACTAAAATGTCATTAATGATTTTTTTTTTGGTATGTATTAATTATACATTTCAAACATTATTACTTTAATAAATAAAATGTACATACTTTTTTTTCATTTTTTTCAATTCTTAAGATGTAAATTCTTATCTTAATACATTTTTCATAGATATATGCTCAATGTATGAGCAACATATATTTATTTCTTTATTTTCTGTCCCAAAAATCACAGAGGCGTAATGCACCTCAATGTATGGTGTAAACCTGTACAAAAAGATTGTTTCTTCGGTTACTCTATACTTATCCATGGTACAATAATAATGTATTTAAAATGTAACTTATGTAATCTTAGTACTGATTAACGATGACTGCATTCCAGCGTGACCAGCCTTTGGCCGACTGGAGCTAACAGACAAATATGCTCCTTCAAGTGTAAAACTCCACTGTTGCCTTTTCCAAGTCCTTCAATATCTGATCTTTCCACTATGCAACACCACTAATACTCTAACTATATACTCTATATAAAATATCGTTAGTATAACTAAAACGCGCTGTGCCCAGCTGGAATGCAGTCCTATTTTATGCCTTCATTATCCTCTTTTTCATTTTCATTCACATCCCTCTTTTTCGCAATGGTTTGTTATTCCACAGACAATTTGTCAGTCAATGATTTACTGATAAATTCACACCACTAACTGTAGTCTGTCATTGGTCAATTAATTTGATTCCCAGATGTTCACTCGGTGTCTCAATTATTGTTATTATTTATATGAATTTTACACTCATTCAACAGTATCAGAAACCTGTTTTTATGGTTCTAGTTCCCTGAATCTCCATCTTCATGTTTTCTCTTCTTTCCTCGAGCAGGAGACGATTCTATATATGATAAAAACGTAATGAAATTGGTGACATGCTTTATGAAAATTGTTTTTTCTTTAAATAAGAAACTCTACTTAAAACAAAATGATATAATTTTTTACATCTTTTAAGGCATTAATATTTTAGTAATGGCAATAAAATAAATAAATCTATCTTAAATCCGAAAATATATAAAAACTTATTCACCTTCTTCCTCATCCTGTTCATCATCTTCATTATCATCATCATCCTCTTCTTCTTCATCTTCACAAAGGAAATCATCTTCATCACTTTCGTCCTGTATTATATTAGTCAAATTAATATATTTATAAATTAGAAGTTGCAAAAAAATCACATCATAATTCATTACAAACATCGTTAATTTTTAGGAAAGTAGCATTTTTTCATAAAAATAGTAGTTTTTTCCAAAAATTTATTTATATACAACATTCACATTGTGTAATATTTTAAAATTTATACAAAACCCGGATTTAAATTGAAATATAATTCACAACGAAGATTTTATATACAATAATAAAATAATAATTTGAATTCTGGATGACTTACTTCAAGACCGTCTTTGTATACAGCTGCTAATCCTACACCACGGTCATCAAAATCTTCAAAATCTTCTTCATCTGAAACTATAATTATATATTTGTAATTAAAATGTGTTTTAATTTATCATATCCATAAATCGTTCAACTTTATTTTCGATCTTTAACTAACCTTCTTCACTATCTTCTTCATTAGCATCTCCATCTCCATCTTCATTTCCATTTACTTCATCATCCTCCCCTTCACTGTCTACTTCACAATCGTCTGTGTCGAATCTACAGAAAGCAGTATTTTAAAATTTATCTTACGTATTAAAAAATGAGAACAAAATGAAACAACTGTTTTACATTACATACCCATCAAGACATCGAAGGCTGGGAATAAGGCTAAAAACCTTTTCTCTATAGTTGTCCAAATTTGTTACTTCATTGTTAAAAAGATCCAGATTTTTTAAATTTTTGAACTCTTTCTGTAAAAAAAAAAAAAAAAACATATTTATACATATTTAAAATGCATACATATAATATTGAAATAATAAAAACATACTAAAGGTTGAAGTGTATCAAGATCTTTGATCTTGTTTCCACTAAGATTAAGATGAGTTAGTTTGGGACTTGATTGAAGAAGATTTAAACCTCCAGAAATTCTGTTGTCACTAAGTTCCAACTGTAAAAAATAAAAATAGTTGAATATTTACATATTCCATTTTATCTTTTGAATTCAATATTGCATTTTATTGAAATGTAGAATATCATACTATATGTTATCTTCAAATGTATATAAGAAATAATTACTTTATTTATAAATTACATGTAATATAATAGTAATAATAAATACATATGCTTACCTTTTTAAGACTTGATAGTTTTGGGAAACCTTTTAGACTGGTAAGACCCACATTAATGAGACTTAACGATTCTAATGCAACAAATTCATCTGTCAGACCTACTATATGTGTACTCCGACAATTGTCAAGAACAAGTTCCTTGACCTGAAAAAAAAAATTTTATATAAATCATAGTTAAATACAAAATTAGATAAGGCTTAAAAATATTTCAAAAATAGTATATTACATTCTATTCAAAATGTATCATAAGTACAATATATCTCTATTTATATAAACAAATAAATGTAGATAATAATATTTTTCAACAAATATAACTTTATATACAAATGATGAAAGATAAAAATAAATATAATTTTTGATTAAAAAATATATATAACGTTTCTGCATTAATCACTTAAAATCTAATAATTTGAAAGAAGATTAATAAAACAATGGATATTAAAATTAAAAACAACTTTGATTAAGGAAACTGTCCGTATAAACGATAATCCATTCTTAATTATATTTGCAAGTCCACAGTACATAGTGAAAGTGTGAATACAAAAAGTTGGCGATGTATGAAAAAGTGTCGGCGGTAATAGTCGCTAAAATTCAAACGAACGATAAGCTTTCGCGGGAGATGGGCTATTTTATTGATCGGAGAAAGAGAAAGGTGAAGAGAGAGGGGAGATAGAAAGGAGACAGGAGAAACAGGGGAGGGAAGTGTGAGGGGGTGGCCGGGATACAGGGGTGATGGTAGTAGAGTGCACGACGCGTCTTGTTTAGCGGCATCAGAAAAGCCGGCAAGCGATAAGTACTGACTGCGGCACGCGACAAGCGAATCCGAGTAGTCTCAAGTTCTAATGTTATCGGAATTCACTTTATCACGACTTAAAATGAATTTCGATACAGTTCGTTTTTATCTGAAATTTAAAATTACATAGTAAAAATATTACAATGTATCCCATTTGCTACGGCACATATTACCCGGAAATATTTTACGATGGTAGAGAAAATAATTTGTTAATCAATTTTTGTTAATTTGTCAAGTCTTTGAAACGAAGCTGAATATGCAATATTATTACATAGCAAGTCTTAGCGACGACAAACCGCTTTCACGCGAAGGCTCGGAGTCGTCGCATGTCCTTATCTTAGATTCACTGCCCGACATTCTGACCGGCCGGCTGATTGGCTGCGCTGTGCGTTGCACTGATCGTAGTGGAAGCGTTTATGAGAAGTTGTCGTGGCTTATAGGAGCGGATCAATGACAGCTACCAGTTGATTAAAGGATGGATACAAGGAAATATTTGATGAAATTTCAAAATTAAATCAATTGGAAGAGGGCGGGAAACAATTTTATCTCATAGAAAATAGTCGATTAATCGATATGTGAATCCAATTAATGGAGTAATTTGAAATACATCATTTTTAAAATAGAATGAAGAAAAAAGATTAGATACAGAAAAATAGATTAGATACAAAACAAAGATACGATGAAAATTTTACATTTAAACAAATTGAAACGAAAGTCTATTCCTATATCGTTTAAGTTTTTAAAATCTTCATGTTCTTGCATCGTAATATTGAAGATCTGAAAATTTTTTAATTAAAATTATTAAGAAAATATATATCTATTATTATTCATTTTGACATTTAAATAACATATTGTGTAAAAACTGTAGTAAAAAAAATTTGAAAGAAGAAATGATATTAATAAAATTTCATTTGGTCACTAATAAAATCATGACGTTTAGTAGCTACGGCACTGCTGAATGGACTGCATCGCAACGCCGGTTAAGCTGATACAAACGCCCACGCATATGTATTTTACACGAATGTATCAATTTAGATGACGGTGTCGAGTGTTGCTGAATTAAGATCATGAAATTTGTAATGCAAGATAAAAACGTGAAAAACGATTATTTTGATCTCTTTATTGCTCCAAAACGTACTCGTATCAGTTGGTGACAGAGTGGACTCGTCCAAGATGGCTGCGCAATGATCAGTAACACGCCATAAGACATCGTAGATTAGATACATAAGAAACCTTATAATCGATTTAGCATCGTTCGTATGCGTTGCAACACCTGGGAATAACTTTTAAAACTTGTTCCATTTCAAAAGATGCAGAAAAAATCTGATTGACAATAAGAATACACTCGCGCGCACCGGAAAACAATGGCGACGTTCGTTCGCACGCGCATCTCATGGCAGCACCTCATGGCACGCACAACTCTTCCCGCTGATAATTGATTTACATAATATATTTTTACCACTCGTGAGAAAAGATGTACAGTTTTTTTTCGAAAGAAAATGTACCACGATATTGATTTTTCAATTCCAATTACCTTTTTTTCGTGCACGAGGTATTTGTATCAATACGATGTAAAAAAAATATTTATAGTTATTCGAATCGTAACGTAAAACACGATTCACGATTTATTACTTTCGCAAGCCAGAGAGTGCACGTAATAGGTATATACCTTCTGAGTTTTATACGACAGTTTATAAATAGAATCACATTTTACGTTAATTGTACTCGAGCTTTTGAATCGTGCGTTAACTAATTGCAATTTTGTAAAATAAATTGATTTATATGCGTAACGAAAAAACGGAATACGAGGCAGAATCTTCGAATCTTTATTGTATCGTAAATTCTTTCAAGTTCAAGTTTACATTTGACCTTGATGGATTTAACATTCTTGGAATACCGAAAATCGCGGTCAAAGGACTGTTAAGCTCTGACATAATACTTTATGTGTAAGCACTACTCGTAACTTGTCAGCAGATGCATATGAGGTTGCATATGTTTCGAAACTCGTTCGAAAGGGGCACCATCTTGTCAAAGCCTTTTTGTACTTCGCTATTGCGTTGTACATAAGATCGATGAAAAAAATCACATATTGATAATGATACTTTCATACATTTGAAACGGACAGTGTTCTAAAATGCCTTGTAAACGATCTGCCGAGATGTGTTTGCTCACATTGTAATAGGAACACACATACGATGCACGGTAGTTTAAAAAAGAGAGGCTCCTAGAGACAGCCACGCCACGCTATAATTTGATCACACGACTTGCGTATAACATGGCATTTTAAATAAGAAACTATTATGTTTGAAATTATTCGATTCCTTTGGAGAAATTTATTGATTATCAAATGCTCAGTATTACTTTTTTTTTGTTAATTACGTTACTTTCATATAAAATATTTTTTAAATGAATTCTTTTATCAAAAAAATTATTACACTTTAAATCTTCGAAAAATATTTCGTTCAGCTCTTTTTTCAATATTCCAATCAGAAAATATGACATTTATGTTATAACGTTATAATATTACATCAATATAACAAATCAATTTCACTTTGAAATTAATAATAGAAAGGTGTACTAGAAATTCTTTAATTTTGAATACTTCTTTTCTAAGATAAAAAATTCGAGAGCAATATAGGAATATTGCAAGAAATAATTAATTGTGAAATTATTTAACATGTTTTATTGAAAATATTTAATTACTGATATGATGGAGGCAAATCATGTTATATGAAGATAATAATATAGTTTTCGTTCGTGAATATTTATACTGATATTATTTTCCGAATCCCTTAGAAATTGATCAAAATAGGCACGTAGATAAAAAATCAGCCATTGTAAGGAGCAATATCTCCATTGATTAAACATGTTTTACTTTCTATGCCAACGACGCTGATTCTACGATGTATTACATCACAAATCAGCAAGATGTAGTGTGTCTGTGTGTGTGTGTCTGTATTATATATATGTATGTATATATGTATATATATATATATATATATATATATAAAATACTGCGTTTTGTAGTAAATAAAATAATTCAAGTTCAAACGCATTTGGTTGCGGGTTGTATAGTGCTTTCTCTCTGCGAACGTAATAACATCTGCGGCGCGATAAGGGACACTTCGTAATTTAGTAGAAAGCTTTGTACGCTAGAAAAACTCGGGAAAATTTAAATAAACAATTGGTTGACTATTTGTTGAATTTAGTCAACCAATCATCTCTCGAATCTCTCAGTTTTTCAGTTAATACGATACAACTGGCCTGGGAATCTTCCCTAACTGAATCATTTGTTTCTTCGAATTTTCCGCGAATCTGGTAGAAAAGGTACACGCGACGAAACAGGGTACAAAACTTGGAATGAAATATCGGAACAAAGACGAGAGAGAGTAAAGAAAGAAAGAAAGAAAGAGAGAGAGAGAGAGAGAGAGAGAGAGAGAGAGAGAGAGAGCGCAACAGAAGAAAACGCGTCACATCGAAAAATGAAGGAGACAAGCCGTTTAAGCGGACCACGCCATGCCTATTACTCTTCTGATGATCAGTAGCATCTCGTGTCGGCATCGAAAACACGTCTTTCTTGTCCGATAAATCGTCGGAGCCACGCGGTCGCCGTCAAGAAATCCCGAGTTCTCGTGCGTCTTCGAGAAGCCAGTGGCGTGCCGCAGAGCGAGTGCGTGGTGTCGGTGTCGCGCGAGGGAACACAATTCTCTTTGCACCCGCTCTTAAACCTGCTACACGATAGAATCAACCAAGCATGCAACAACCCGCGGTATCGGTCAGTCTCGTGTCGAATAAAGCAGTAAAATTAAAATAAGTGGAGTTTGGCTTACTTCACTGGAGTTTCTTCCCCGTTTCTCAAGTTCTATCCGCTTCTCCATTGTCGGCAAAAATCCGTTCGTAACTTCGTACACGAATCACTACACCTTCCTGCGTCGCAACAACTAGTCGCAACCTTGCTTTCAAACCGGGAATATGACGGACGGACGACGGTCGGTCACCAGTCGGACTGAGCCACCACCGTACCGAAGAGCCAACCCAACGGCGGTTCGATTCTGGTCTAGGCCCTATGCTCTCTGCACTCGACTCACCGGACTGGCGGGGCCCCCACACAATAACAACCCACGAGGCGGGAAACGAAACACATGTCTGGCACTACTTTCGAAGCGACCAATCCCGTTCTTTTGTTCGCTGGCGGTCCCGATCGACTTGACATCTCACGGTCTTCTACGGAACTTCGCTTTAGCGCGCCTAAATTCATTTTCTTTATGTATCTAATTAGGCCTAATGGACTTGGTGTTCATAGTAGGACTTTCCAACAACTTTGCCGTTTAAAAGTTTATTATTTTGTTAATCAATCCAGATGGTTTCGTACTTTTCTTTTATTAATAATGGTGAAAGAATTTGGTAGTTTGCATCGGTTACCGCACAAATTTTTAAGCTTCCGGCGCTCGTGTTAGACCATGAAGATTTCTTATGCTTAGTTTATTTTATGTAACGTTACCTAAGAAAATCCGGCATAATTCTACATACAACTGACAATTTGACGTACGAACGAACCGATAATCTTTGTTCCACTATCTATTAATACTAAACAATTGCGTATGCGAGGTATCGAAGTTGATATCGAAATTCAAACATCGATAAGACGAAACAATTTGAAGTACGTCTCACGTTTTCTCTCGTTTAATATTTAATTTATTGCTATTTAATGTTTTTATAGCAATCGACGTATGTGAAAATATTGATATATACATATATAGAACACACCAAGAACGTCAATTACAATCACAATGTATAATATTATTAAACATTGTGTTAGATTTGATCTAACATACATATAAGTTGACACATAATTTGTACAAATTCTGTATCATCAGAGAAATTTGGAATTTTATATATTGTATAAAATTTTTATTCTTTTATATTCATTGCATTTTCCGATCGTGGCAAATATTATTTAAAATTTATCACTACCAAGAATCAGTTAAATATTTCCAGCAATTTTCGTTATAAATTAATTTAATTATGAACAACTTGACTTACTTTAAAGTATAACGCAAGCAATTAAATAATGATTAGAAATAATAAACGTAATTTCACAATAAAAAAAGTAAGTTTGTTTATACTGCATACGTCTCGATGTAATATCCTCAGTCAACTTCCGATATCTATGATGTTCAAGTGATCCGCCCCTGCAGGTGTAGAATCCGTGAAGATCAATATGCGCTCATTGATTGCACTGTAGCTGCGCTGCGTCGGCTTCATCGAATTTGTCTTCCTCGTAGAACTAAACATTGAGCATGTACGTACTTGCTTGTTTAGTCGAGTCCCAACGTGCACCTTTCACCAACGATTGTACAATTGAATTACAAAACTGGAATAAACGCGTTATACGATGCCACGTAATGTCTTTTCTGTCAATAAAAATACAGCCTCTCGTTACAGAATTTCGTGATAAGCAAGCAAGTTTGATAATTTCGTAATTACCTGTTACATCGATCATCGTACGTTATATATAAACAATACATGTAAGTTTAATGCATCTTACAACTTCGGCGATGCTAATATTTATCAAAGGAAACATCTTGTTGAAAATTTTTTAAAATAATTTGGATGGTTATTTATTTAAAAATACACTGACTGTTAATTTGAATTGTCATTTATCTTACTTACAAATGTCAAAGTTTTATATTAAATAATAATATTAAAATCGATATTTTTACGTATTTTATCAGTGCATTTACATAGATTTCGTACATTATTCGCTGCATAGTTATAGATTTAAATAATATGTATCATATACTTATGAATTTAACTAACTCGTAAATTAATAATTATGAAATCAATTCATAAATAATTTTAAATAAATAAGTTATTAAATACGTCTTATAGAGTACTCTTATTGCATTGTATATGCGATCTCCTGTTATTTATGTATATCTATATCTATAAGAACATTTCCTATATGATGACACAAAAGATAATTCGTCAATGATCATGTGTAATATAGATTGTACATTAGTTACGCACAAACTACAATTTCCACTAATTTCATTATATTTTTTTAGAAATTCAATATTGTTATTAACAAGATTATTTAAATAAAACGTAGCAGTCAGTGTTTTAATCTTTTTAATTACATATTCATATATCAGGATCGACATATTTTAATACATTCAATTTAATAGTGTAATTTATTACTTTTTATTTTATTGATTTCTTTCAATATATCGGAAATTAAAGAACTAAAATAACGAGAATTATACTTTACTCATATCGATTGTACATGTATTATAGTGTATATTGCACAACCAATCAAATTACTAGTTATAAATAAACATGGTTCTCTTTCTTTAATCCGTTTTTGTCCTCTGCGCAGTGTCAAGAGCATGTTGAATATATCATATGTTTCTGTACAGATTACAGTTCCTTATTAAGATTATTTTAACAGTATATGATTGAATATAATAGTCTATAAAATAAAAACGTTTAATGGTAAGAATATAAGGTGTAAGGACATGACGCAACTCCATATAATATTGTCATAATCTTATAAAACTGTTTTATTCACACAGGTATAAATTGAGCGTAAACAAATGTAATTGAAATATTAATAGAAATTCCAAAAATACTCCAAGTGTACGTTATTTATAAATGTTTATTATGAAAAAAATATATATTTTTTCATTATTGTATATGTATACATAAATTTATGTAAAAAATATTTGTATATTGCAATAAACAATCCATTTATGTTACATTGCAGCAACTGCTAACATTTCAAAATATTGTAAATGTTGTATAAATGTGTAAATAAGTTTACACAAATTTATTTCAAAAATATAAACAGTCATAAACATAATATAGCTAATTTTGAGGTTTCACAGTTACTGCTTTTATAGCACAAATTATTACACTGGGTTATTATGATTTCATTAACTAATTACAACTAAAGTATTATAAAATACGTTTATGAAACAAAAATATTAACCCTCTATAACGCAACGTATCTATATTTTTTATATTTTTAATCTTAATTTATTTTCTTATCGTTGTTTTGATATTTTGTTAGTATACTATAATAATGGCATTAAATGATTAACTCACAATTATTAATTAATTTTTAGATTTCAGTTAAACTTCGTTTCCGTAAACAAAATTCTAGTTATAGAGGATTAGAAAATATAATGATGAATAAAATTGAAAATAAATCATATAAGATACGTAGGATTTCTTAGTTGTATATCCATAATTGAAATTTATAATATTAAGACATTTACATTAGTATAAATGATATGTATGCATTTTTCACACACTAAAAGAAAAAGAAAAATAGAGAGATAAATTATTATACTTTTACTTTAAAATAACAAACTAAGACATTCAAATACAATATCTTTAAAATGGGCATAATCTTAAAGAACAAAATATATCATTGTGTGATATATACATAACATGCTTTATATATATGTATATGTCTGTAGTCCCATGTGTGCACCAAATATATAAACACACGTTTTCATTTACACATTTACAAATTAAAAAATTTATTTCAATTCATATCGTTAATTAAATAGAATGTAAGTTAATTAATGATTTTAATTCAAATGTTCTTAATTCAAAAAATATACAAGAAATTTTTATAAAAATATAATAAACTAATAGACAAAAATGTTACTTTACAACTACTTTATATTAATATTTTTCTTTGCAATAAAGAAAACGAACCTCGATTCACCCTCATTATAGTATTAATATTTAATACACGTATAGTAGCGTTTAAATTAAAAAGTATATGGCCAAACAATAAAAAAAATATATTCGATTCTTGTAGAAATCAAGGAACTACAATTGTTTATATACTTTACGTAATTTATCGCATATTCTTTTTTCATATCTATGTTTTATGTACAAGGAGTTTTATATTAAAAATATGTCTCCAAAATATAAAATTACATGCATAAAGCTGCGCGTTCTCAATTTCCATTGATATTCACATTTGAGAATTTTATTACTATCTATTCTTTAATAAATAATCATACTTGTTAATGTTTATTAATGATAGCTGGTTCTAGTGCATTTACATCCGTTGAAAGATACTTTTTACGATTTCGTACGTACTGTGGCGGTGCTGTTCTAATCTGAATATGGCAAACTGCTTTTGCATTTTCTTTTGGATCATTAATGCAGGTATTTTGTTTTTTAGAATCCACAACTTTGCTTAAAGAAGTACAATTCTTTCTCTTGAGATAATTAATATCTTGCCTAATTGGTGCTACTGACGAACGAGTTTTACGAGGTTGATAATCTGGTGTTGCTTGCATTTTTTCCAGAGCAGTACGTAGAGGTAATAAACCAACAGCAAATGGAATTTCTGTATTTGGGGTACATTCCAGCAAATTTATCTTATTTTCATAGTCTTCTGCAAAATCTGACATATCACCCCACAGTGCACGATTTATATGTTCTATTGTATTTAATTTGGGTAGTGTAAAAATGGAATCAATTTCTGTTGTTTCTGATATGTCACATTTTAATTTATTTGTTGGTTTAACTGTTTGTTCATCTTTTTCTTTATTAGACAATGTACATTTATTATTCTTTTTGACAATTAATTTTTCAGTACTTTTCCGAGAATTATTAAATGTCTTTTTAATGGGCTGCATTACATTATTAATACCTCGTTCTGCGACTTTACGATCCATGTCCTTTATTTTGCGTTTCTTTTTAATACATAATTCTGTTTTATTCGAGAAATTTGATTTTTTAAAATGTTTTTCTTTTTCATGAGGATCTTTAATACCTTCATTATTATTTATAGCTTCCTCTGTTTCTTGTTGGTTTAATCGCAAACTTCTTCTTAACATTGGTTTTGTATAATTAGAAGTTTCAGTGTTTTCAGTATTTAATTCTATTTTATTTATATTATCTTTTTGGGTATTATATTCAATAATTTGTTCTATTTTCTTACACGAGTTTAATGTATGCTGTTCAGTTACAGTAGTCCCTACTATAGATTGAATATTTTCAGTACTTAAACTTATAATATACTCAGCACTTTCCATGTCTAATGAGGTTAAAAGTGTAACTGGTATATCATTAGTGGACGGCTCATCCAATAAATCTATACAATCAGTAGATGGCGGATTTTGAATTACATTATTCATATCTGTTAGTTTGATTTTTAGTTCATCTACAGATTTTCGTCTCTTATGAGTGTAAACTTTAACACATTTTCCTACTTTACTAGGAACGTCAGTACCTTCAAACTTACATTGTACAAAGTCTTCTTCAATTTGTTGAAGGCAAGATTGTGATAATGACATAGAACTTTCTTCACACTCATCAATATCTGAAAAATCACAGCATTGTTCATATAATATAGGTTTTAATTCAGTATTTGTACACAATGTATCACTATTTATCATTTTATTTTTTGAGTATCTATTTGATACTACTTCTTTTGTTTTACCATTTGTTAATACGATTGAATTCTCATTTCCTACCAATTTTGTAGAATTTCCTACTGAAAATAATGTATTAGTTTGTTCTGCATTAGTTTCAAAATCTTGTGACTCTTCATATAACATATGTTCTAATTCTTGTTTAGGAGGATCACTGATTGCATTACCTTCTAAAAATTGATTTTCACTTGAATTCACATCACTGTTGCTCTTATTACAAAGTACAAAGCACTCATCATTAACAAGTTCATTACACTTTACATCTATATAATCTATGTTATTACATGTATCGCTTATAATCTCTGATTTAGTAACTTCCTTGTCCATATTGATGTTAATTTCAGATCTTCCTACATTGGAATTCATCATAGTATCAACTACAGTTGTCAACTCTTTAACCTATATATGTACAAAAAATTGTTAGCAAATTTTATATACGTACATACGAATATTTTTTTAAATTTATAGTAATAGCAATGGATTTTTTATATCTTACAGATTAATATTATAATTAATTCCTTAAAATTTTTCAAAAAATTATGAAAAGCTTCTAATTCAACAATAATAATACATAAAGCATTTTATTTTAATATATATTTTTGTAAACAACTGATATTTGTATCATAAAACTTCTTATGTTTAACCTACTTAAGTTGACAGACAAATGTTATTATTCTTATTTTTGTTTTTATTCTCATCAATGTCAAACTCATATATAAGTAACAGTGAAATTACATGCATTATTACACATACTAAATAAAATTTTTAAAATATTTCATAAAAACAAATTTTATATCTTTTATACTTATTTTGTATACATATAAAAGATTCAAATAATATTTGAAAATAATATTAAATTTATAACAATTTTTAGGGAATCAATTATACTACTTATCCTTACCTATTACTAATAATATAAAAGGAAGTTAAGATAATTTTGTTACTAATGGCAAGATGGAAAATAGAACAAAACAATATTAAAATTTAATATAAATTTTTTGCATACATTACAAAAATATAACTACTCTCAAATTTTTAATATTTATATAATTTTACTTGCAATATAGCCACTTGTAATTATTAATATTAATACTAACCTTAAAAGTTTTGGTGGCAGTTAACAAAGGTGATAATAATTGATAAGGAATTGTAGTTTCTCCGCAATACATGAATTCAACCATGGCCTTTAAGATTTCAAAGTTTAAATCTTTCAAAAATATAATTGGTTCCTGACCCAAATCTTGTAGGATCTCCTATTACATCATAAAGTAAAGCCACTAAAATATATTAATAGATAAAAGTATACTACATAAATTTATGAATTATGATAAAAATGAAAAAAATGTTTTTTGTTAACATATTACTATTTTTAAATGAATTTTTTAAATTTATACATTTATTGCGTGCTACAAAATTTAATACTATATGCAAAGAACACTTTTAATAGTGTTAAATATTTTTTTTTTTTAAATTTTATCAAACCCTAATATTAATTTTAAGTAAAAGATTTTAGTATCTAAAATTTCAAGCGTTGTCTATATAAATTTATACATGCATATTTTGAAATATATTTAATTTTATTTATATCTATTAATAGATAAAAAAAATTACATGCATCATTAAATAGCTATTTACATCAGCATATACTTATTTGATTATTTTGAATTCAAATTAACTACCTTTATATTCAATAGATGTTCTTCATAAGTTGTAAAAAGTATGTCCATCAAACATGGTTTCTTCAAATGCTTGCAAACAAATAAGGAAATTCCAATATATAAGGCTTTCTTTACTTTATATGAACATTACATAATCCCTGGAAAATTGTCCTTTTATAAGTATTTCATATATCTTATGTATATATGATTTTATATATCTATACATAATGCATATAGCAATAATTGAGTAAAATTTAATCAAGTCACACTATTATATATTACAACTATATGACAACTAAAACATTATATACATATTTATGATGTAATTTAGTACTAAAGTATTTTCACTATTGTATGTGTTCTTTATAAATTTATTTTATAATAGCAATTAGTAATAAATATTATTAAGATAGATGGAAACCCTAAAAATTGTATAAACTAAAAATATATTTATTTATACAATAAATTCAAATTATAATATATTCAATGAAAAGACTGTCTAATATATAATTTTT